AAAACTGCTTTCTATACCCCCCCCCCCCCCCCCGTAAATCCGGCCTACGCTAAGAAAATGATGATGGGGGTTCAATGGGTGAACCGTGAACGCAGAACACATTTCCCTGCTCTTGCAAGTGCATGCATTAAACTCTTAAGGTCTTATCATTTACCCTAATGTAGCTTTACTGCTTAATATCCACAGTGTACGGCAGATTGAAAAGCACCTTTAATGCGGTTTAGGGAAGGCGGGCGGCAGACCATGCTCGATTTCCCAGGTGGAAATGACAGTGTGGCCAATGGGCAGTGTGGCGAAATAACGTTTCGAGTGAATTAGATGTATTTTTTTTTTACCGTTTGAAGAACATTCAATTTACTCTGTGCATATTATAGTATGAAGAGAACTAAATAAGGCATCGTTATGAATTTTGAAGAGGTCCACAGGAGTGTGTGGTGAAAGCTCGAGAGAAGGAAGAGGCCTAACTCACGGCACAACCGAGGAGGTACCACTCTTGGAAGTGCACACATCTGGTTTCAGATCTTAGCTGATAGGGGCTCGCGAAACCAACAACTGAAGTTTCCGCCGCGGACGTGACAATTGTTTTGCGGCCTCTTTCGTCACGGATCTACGCTAACCGTCTAGAAAACCAGAATTAAAACACGGACGGCCATGAAACCAACATCGCCGTCTTTCCGAGTCGGGTCGGAGATTGCGCCACGCGAACCGAAAACAGTCACGGGTCGTGCCCGTTTCCCGCAAAGCAATTTCCTGCCTTTTAAATAGTAGTCAATTTATTTCTACGCGTTCTGTGCTGCTGATAGTAGGCTGTTAACCTAGTTTCGTCACGGCTCAAGAGCTGCCTGTTATTGGAGAAAGATTTCAAGGCAGAAAGGTTTCTGCCTTGAGCAGCAGCTGCTGTGCAGGCAAATAGCGGCCTAGTCATGACCGATTACAGGATAAAACCTCTAACAGTGTGTCTAAACAGAAAGTGACAATACCATGAAACAGCAGAGCACTTTCCTCCCCGAGCAATACTTATTAAATTCCTACGTTTCAGCAGATGAAGTGTTCCAGTCTGCCTTGCGCTTAGTTCTGTGGAGCGTAATCCTCACGAAGCGTGCTTTGGCAAGACCCATTTTAGTGTTTTTGTCCTGCCCCAGTTGTCGCTAATTGAAATGAAGCGTCTGCATGCGGCAACCCGTATTAAACGAACCGCACACACGGAGCGGACAGCGCTGTCTCCCCGAGCCGGCCTGCACGCCGTGATGTGGTGCGTCTGGCACCGTCCAGCTAAAGAGAAATGTGCCCCCCCTTGACCAGGCAATTCGATTAATTTTCATGATTCTGGCCTACGATTCTATTCGAAGATCATTTTATTTCTGGTGCTAGAACATGGCCGTAGTAGTAACAGGAGTAATAAGAAGAAAAAGGTTGCACATGGAATAAGACTTGATGATGCAGGCATTTGTGAGAAGAAACTGGCACTATTTTTACACACGTAGCATGGACAACTGCAGAAAGATAAAAAGTGTGTTCGGAAAAAGAGAAATAACCAAAAAGAGGAAAACCTAATAGAGAATGGCTTGATGACACTATAAGGGATTGGTGCCAGACAGATGTGGCACCACTTGAGGAAATTGGCACTACAAGACAGAGGAAAGTGGAAATAAATGACGAAATGTGCAGTGGACACCTTTGGGGCTATCTCCCCATGGGTTGTGATGATGATTGCATGGCTGCGTTGAGGTGTGCACTTACGTTTCCATACTTTACCGCTAACATCACAGTGCCGATTGATATCTGAAGCATTCCTGGACCTTGCCTTGCCCCCCCCCCTCCGGCCTTCATCAACCCTCGCCGACCAGCATGGTGAAGTATGGTCAAATGACTGACATCGTCTGAGGAGGCCTCCATTCAATCGTGGTTTAGCAAAGGCGGGGGGGGGGGGGTGTAAAAATACCCCCAAATCTACCTCCATGACGGCAAAATGCTGTTTGCAACGCCTGCGTCAGCCATTTAACAAGTCGTCGCAAGGAGAGTGCGGCAGCGCACAGCGGAAGATGCCACCCGGCCCATCCCAACCCTCGCGCACACGGCCAAGTGGTGGTGGTGGCGGCAGATATTTTAGATGTTTTTTTTTACTACAAATGAAGTGAACGTCGCGATTTCATTTCGGGTTGGCATCGCTAAATTTACGTCAGGCATTTTGGCAAATTGGTTCAATAGCCCAACACAGTCCACACCTCGCCCCGAGCGGCGAAAATGAAAACACTGACGACAAGAGCAAAAAAAGAATAGTGACGCTGCCACCCGTACGACGTCGCTGCAGCGCGCGGTTGCGCTGCATCGCACGGCGGGGTTGCAGTGGGAGCAGCAGGAGGAGGAATGCTCCATTAGTCTGGCCTACGCAAAGACAAGCACAAATAGAGACATACAAGCAGCAATCCTTATATGAATAACAATACTAATACCATTCAAGAGACTGCCAATGTGAAATAGGTCTCGGAGTGAGCGGATATGATTGGCAAATGTACTAGATTGCATAGAGCCTTTGTGATGAAGCATTAGGTTGGAAGGCCAAACGGATGACCTCGTCCAATATTATGATTCACAATGGTTCTTAACGACATACTTGGTCAGGTCGCACGTGGCCTTGCACAGACGTCTATTACGAATCCGTTGCACTGTGAATAAAACTCAAAAGAGGTGTGAGAGTGGGACCAGATGAACACTGAATGCAGCCCCGTGCATTCAGTGTTCAACGTGCTATGAAGAAGGGCCATTAACCGAAACGTCGCCTATCATATATTTATCCTTTTAAGGCCACGTCGTTATTGATGAATGCGTTGTTGTTGGGGGGGGGGATCATTTGAAATGTGTTATTATGGTGTTGCTTGAAATGGCTACACAAATCACAGCGTACTGTATGCGTGTCCTAATTGCGCTGCCATAAGCCGTAAAATATATTTCCTGCAACAACGTCTGGAACACGTGGCGTGAATGAAGGGTGCGGTGATGTGGGAGAAAGTGGTATTTGTGTGTGTGTGCGCACACGTGTGTGGGTGTGTGCGTGCGCGCGTGCCTTTTATTTCTGCAGGTTGTTATTGCGTGTCGTATCAATGAGACGACGAATTTCTTAAAATACTGAATTTGTTCCGCTGCTCGTTGTGCCCTTTCAAATGCAACAAAGCTGTGAATAAGCAGCCTGGAGTTGGGGTGCAGACCTGAGAGAGAAAATAGATAATTTCTGTTAATTGCAGTCATCACCTCCATTTTCCGCCCGTTAAGGCCACCACAGGTTCCCTAAACGGATTGTGTATTTTTAAATTACCCTAATGACCAGTACAGGGTGAATAACAAACCAAACATGGTGGGAAAACACAATTTATGTAGATTAACCCTTAACCTTCGTACGGACAGTGAACTTAACTTGAATATGCTTCAGTCCTCATCACCATCGGCCATCGTCAATCCACTGCGAGATGAGGGCCTCCCCCAAGCTTCTGCCACCCTAGCACCTACACACAAGCTGATTTAATCGCTCCATCTCCTTGGTCAACATCCACTGGAATGCGTTCCACTCCTTGGCTCCCGCTCCCTAGCTTGCGCTGTCAGAAATAATAAATATTACATTAAAACCTGCCACATTCATCATTCGCACGGAAGTAAAAAAAAGCGCATAGGCTGGAGTTTAGATCAATGGGTTCTTCTGCAGAGGAGAGAGCAAAGGCGGTGGTTGAGTGACCAACGGTTGTAAGAATTGCTGTATGCTTGTGGGGCCATAGAAATCCTGGGACATTTCAAGGAAGTTGACCAGTGAACAATTTTAATTTGACGTATAAAGCGATTTTATTTAGTAGACACTACCAATTCAACCCTTCCAATGCCCAAAATATACGTTTACATTCAGTTTTCACACGTAGGCTTTTGCGACCAATATTATCCATAATAGAGGTTTTGTCGAGTTTAAGGATGCATTTATATTTACACGATCTAACCCAGAACCTTATATTATGGATACGTTTAAATTGTCACTTCTTCTCTCACTATGGCCATGGTTACCATTCCCATGAACTTAATTCGTTGATTTCCTTACCCGGTTTGAGGACTCTGTTTACCACACTGACTATTTCATCTCATCCTCATTTGGAATTCCCTCACGTCGTTTATTTTCCCTCATTCTTACCATCTTGATCAATTCAACAAACATTAACTTGCTATTTTGCCTTTAGTAGTGCTATTGGTTGCTGACCGCTGGACATTTTGGGCATATTTATATTCCAAGGAAGGGCATTTACAAAAAGTGAAGTGATTGGACTCTTCTGACAAACACCACGAGAGGGCAAACGTTGTGTGACTGTAGGCCCGAGTTAAATATTACAGTAACGTTTATATTGAAATAGCTTTCACCGAATTGCAGGTTTGCAATGTAGGAAGGTCGTTGAGTTATAAAATTAGAGGCCAATAGTTTCCCACAATTGTTAAGCGAATCTGAATAGGAAGTAAATGATTAGAAACACATTACATTGGAGTTCCAACGCGGCTGTGTGGCTCATGGGATGTGTAAAAACAAACTTAGTTTTTTACGTGGTGGGACGGACACGGGAAGGAGGTGAATTGTCCACTTGATAATTGTGTTCCTTAAATGCTTCACTACGACCAACTACAGGTAATTGGCATACAATTAGGGGTGCAACCAAACGAACCTGAGCGTATGACGAATGTTGTGACGTTGTCTTTTTAGTGTCGTTGTGCCTCTGCGCACTGCTGCCAATACAGTCCCCCCTTTTTTTCCCGTTGAAAAAATGAAATTGGGGTCAGAGTTCAATTGTGCTGTGACCACAAATAAACGTAATTCAAGCCTCATCCTTTTTTAAATGGTTTCCAGCTACCGTGCGCAGTGCGATGTGTAAAAGGTGAAGTGATGTTGGTTTAAATTTGTCAGCATAAATGAGTTTATAGTTTTATAATCTGGGTCCGCTGCCCACTTCCTACCCCCCCCCCCCCCATCCGTCCAGATCTGAAAAAGACGCTGGCTGTGCTGCTGGATAATATACTCCAGCGGGTCGGGAAGCTGGAGGCCAAGGTGGACTTCCTGTACAATGGGACACGGACCAACGCATCCAACACCAACCACTCGGGATTGCTGGGCACCACCCCGGCCAGCAGCGACAGCAGGGTCAACGCTGCAGGTGGGTGTCAACGCACACGGTTGTGCTACTCGGTGTGCCGTGTGTGTGTGAGTGTGTGTGCGCGTGTGGGGAGCAGTACTGTAGCGGTGAGGCACTGTGCTACAAACCTGGCGACCTGAGTTCGATTCCCGCTCACGGCCAACACCGGTGACGATTATTAGAACCAGTCCTCGGCCTCCCCTAGGTTGACTCAGCCTCAATAAGTACCTGGTGCGGTGTGTAAACATTGCCACTGGGGAGACAAAGGTGGCCGGGCGTGGTGCTGGCCACACCTTCTCTTCGTATACCGTGCTGGCCTTAATAGGTGCTTGCTAACAGCACTTGTCCCAACAGTCTTGAGGCTATACCAGGGATCTTTGTCTGTTTTATTTTTCCCGGAGAATGTGTGTGAGTGTAGTCATTGTTTTGCATGTATATGTTAGAGTTTTGTGTGGGTTGCCGTTAGGTGGTGTTGGATTGGTGGGCTGTTGGGATGGCGGGTGGTGGTGATTGTTGGGTGAGTTGGGGTTGGGTTATGGTTGTGGGTAGGTTGTTGGCAGGGTGGGCCTGACCTGGCTGTCGTTTTTCTTGTCGTATTCGTCCGGACTTCCTTGGGACTCTGCAGGTGCTGGGATTCTCCGTCGGTCCGTTGATTTTGGTGCCGTTCTTGGTCCTGTTTTCTAAGCCTTTATCTTTTCTTCCCCTCTTGTTTGCTCCGATGTGTTTTGTATTTCCTTTGTGTTTGGAGGTCTCCGAGATGCCGTATAAGAGTAAATGCAAATCTTTTGTTACTCAGCTACTCTGTCAATGTATGTGTGTATGTTGAACTTCTTTTGCACACCGCACGTAGCCAATCGTGTTCATCGGAGGTGTGCGGGACCAATGACACCGTTTTTTAACTCCTGGCCGTGATCTTCAATGGCATCTGTACTCAGTGCGGATCCTACTTAGATTCAATCTGTCAAAAATACAATGTGTGATATGGAGTGCCATCATGGGTAATGGAAAATGGAACGAGCGCGAGCATAATGATCATCTTATTGCCCATTGTGCTTCGTTGCTTTTAATAGGAGCTCGCCAACAGCACTCGCGTCCAAGACATTAACATTAAACGCGGCCGTGCCCACAGTCTGAACTTCAAAACGTCTCCACTGTAATGAATTGGGTTACATTAAATAAAGCTTTGGGGTGTATGTAGTTGCTAAAGAGGGGGAAAACAAATTGAACCAATTTGCGGGCTTCTGTCACGTTTGCGCTCGCTGTCGGGGGAAATTGGACATCCGATGTGGCAATTGCAAAGGTGGCGATTGCGGCGGCGTGCGTGCCGCCAAGCGGGACTGCTCGCAAACGCTTTCCCGCGCGCCCTGGTCCTCCCCACCTCAAGGGCTATCGTTGGGTTGCCATGCTCCGTGCACTTGGATGTGCTTGTGACTTGCGCATGGCCTTAAGACTTTTCAAAACCTGCTTTGTCACAATTGAAACGCAGCGTTGACAGGTGACCACAGTGGATTTGAAGTCGATGCTTATTTCCATCTTTTCTTTGCGTGAAGGTGCTGATTGTTACGTAGTATTTGGCTTATTTATACTTTGCCTCTCGCAAATACAAAATACTTTCAGCTCATTTTTATTACTACGGCTGCATGCATGAAATATTGAATTGCCCAGCACAGTGCCATTAAGTTTGGTGAATGCTGTTGGGAAATCTGATGCCAACACTGCAATTAGGAACAACATATTTCATTGCCCCTAAAGTGTCACAATTAGTAATGATTGAAACCTTTGCATTTGTAACATCTTTCTAAATTCTTGAGTGATGTTTTATTATTATTATAATGATAATAATAAACTCCTCTGCCTTTTATAATCTGTTAGCTTATGAAGCAGAGATGTTTTTAGATTGGATGAAATTATTGTTTTTCTCCAAATTATAAACTCAATGCAGACAAATTACTGGCACCAGCAAACATAATTAGTGGGTGCAATTTTTCAATTACAGCAACAAGCAAATGTTTCATTTAAAGTCAATGTGCTGGACTGACGCATCTCTGAATCGCCAAAGACCTAATCTCAGTGGCCTCTTGATGGGCTGTGGTGTCTGCTGTAGCACGGAGAAAAGCGTGTGATGAGCTCCAACACCCGGTAACCCACCCAGATTTAATTCGCGCTGAGTTCAAATTAATGCCGCCAGCTGTGCTTCTGCATGTTAGATTGTCCAGTGCCACGCTGCTGGGATGGGATCAAATGGTGCGTTCTCACAAGTGTCTCCTACTCGTTCCAGAACGTTCCTGAAACGGCCCAGAACATCTTGCTTCTTGTTCCAAAGCGGTGGGCTCGGTGGGCTCGGCAGGCTCGAGCCCTCCCCTCTATACTCCCACGCCCCCTCCCTCCCTTCCCTCTGCATACAGAGAGTGGCGTTGATATTTTTGTTTGCATTATTCACAAGGTTTTTTAACTCGTGGCCTGGGTAGGTTTACCGTACCCCAAATCAACATATACTGCGTTACGTTGCTCTTTTTCCACCACGGTGTTTTTTGCGCTCGTGAGAATGCAGCCCAGAAGTTACCTGGGATGAAAGCGGCTGGGGGGTGGAGGGGGGGGGGGCGTAGTCTCCTTGTCAAGCGGAGTGACCACGTAGGCCGGGCTCTGCAGACTGGGAGCAGTTTGCAGGCTGCCGTGAGAATCTATACTGGGCGGGCTATTGCGTGCTCATGGGGGACAGCTGCAGGAGAGAATATTTCAGAATATCTGTGTTTTTGCCATCTCAACCGCCTTCTTCTATGCAAAAGCGAAGCCACGGTAATGAGAACTATGGCACCGTGTGCTGGTTTTAGGAGTTCTATCCCCCGCACGAGAATCCGATGCATAATGCATGCTGTTGGTGGTTTTAGTCTTCTCGCCATTGCTACCAAATTTGTCCCAATTATTTTATGTCATCAGTTTTTGGAGGATTTTAAGTTTTTAACTTAAAAGATGGGTGCAATTTAAAACCTTGTTAATAAGGACAATTTTTTAAGTTGTGGAGAATTTTTGTGTTAATGATTATTTGATGTTCAATTTTACCCACTTAAAAAATAGAATTATTTGCGTAAACATTTCAAGAAACGTCTTGGGTACAAAAAAATACACCGTGAACCTAATCGCGTGGCATATTTTTCACAAACGGGGAATATTTGCGCGGAACTAATATATTTTCACAAAATATAAATTCATTCGTGACCAAATTAATAATGAATTAGTTTTATTTCCTTTGGTTTCATGATATCATGGTTTATTTTTATATCAGATGTGTAATTTCCTTTAGGTGCTCGAACATTCTCAGAACTGCCGCGAATGTTTGAAAAACTGGCAGCTCCCACCTGTGGATCTAAACCACGCTTGTGGCCTCGCCACTCGCCGCCGTTATTTTCCGGCTTGACATCATCGCCGCTAAAAGCCGTGGGCACGAGTAAAGTGGGGGCAGCAGCGACGCGGGACAGCCTGGAAAAAAACGTTCACGGGCACTTCAGTTACACACACGAGCCCCGTCGCTTGATGCCAATCACTCAATGAGCACGCAGACAGGCAGGGGTCTACAAATAATATAATTAAATATTATTGTGTATGGGGGGGGGGGATGCAATTCATCAATTCATCAAAAATCCGCAAACCTCTTGATTGTGCCTGATGATGGTGATGACTATACTACAGCTTTAATGACGTAACACAATTGCACCACTGCATTTATTACAATTAATTGTCCAACATGACGATGTATAAACCTTACACGTAAAATAATTACGACTGTACTTAACACGGTTAATACAAGATAAAGGTTTATTGCGCTGCTGTGCAATATTCATACAGAAAACTAATTTTTCATTGTTATCGAACTTTGCACATTTTTTCTACATTTCAGTAGAAAAGTGCATTCTCATCTTAAGCACAAAACGCTTTAAATTAACATATTTACTTAACTTTTGTGACTGCAGGAATTAATATTCTTTAGTTCTTTAGGTAAAGTCACGTAGATAAAAAAACAAGTGAATTAAAATATCGCGACGTTTCGATCGCAACACAAAGCGGTCGTCATCAGGAAAAGGGGTTAGCCTCTAAAGGCACACCGTTTATAAAGGTTTGGAGATGGGCGTAGCCCGAGTGTATCTGCAGCACCAGCAGCATGGGCAGGGCAGCAATGCCAATGCAGCAGCAATGCCAATGCAGCAGCAATGCCAATGCAGCAGCAATGCCAATGCAGCAGCAATGCCAATGCAGCAGCAATGCCAATGCGGCAGCAATGCCAATGCGGCAGCAATGCCAATGCGGCAGCAATGCCAATGCGGCAGCAATGCCAATGCAGCAGCAATGCCAATGCAGCAGCAATGCCAATGTAGCAGCAATGCCAATGCAGCAGCAATGCCAATGTAGCAGCAATGCCAATGCAGCAGCAATGACAATGCAGCAGCAATGCCAATGCGGCAGCAATGCCAATGCGGCAGCAATGCCAATGCGGCAGCAATGCCAATGCGGCAGCAATGCCAATGCGGCAGCAATGCCAATGCGGCAGCAATGCCAATGCGGCAGCAATGCCAATGCGGCAGCAATGCCAATGCGGCAGCAATGCCAATGTAGCAGCAATGCCAATGCAGCAGCAATGCCAATGTAGCAGCAATGCCAATGCAGCAGCAATGCCAATGTAGCAGCAATGCCAATGCAGCAGCAATGCCAATGCAGCAGCAATGCCAATGCAGCAGCAATGCCAATGTAGCAGCAATGCCAATGCAGCAGCAATGCCAATGCAGCAGCAATGCCAATGCAGCAGCAATGCCAATGCAGCAGCAATGCCAATGCAGCAGCAATGCCAATGCGGCAGCAATGCCAATGCGGCAGCAATGCCAATGCGGCAGCAATGCCAATGCGGCAGCAATGCCAATGCGGCAGCAATGCCAATGCGGCAGCAATGCCAATGCGGCAGCAATGCCAATGCGGCAGCAATGCCAATGCGGCAGCAATGCCAATGCGGCAGCAATGCCAATGCGGCAGCAATGCCAATGCGGCAGCAATGCCAATGCGGCAGCAATGCCAATGCGGCAGCAATGCCAATGCGGCAGCAATGCCAATGCGGCAGCAATGCCAATGCAGCAGCAATGCCAATGCAGCAGCAATGCCAATGCAGCAGCAATGCCAATGCAGCAGCAATGCCAATGCAGCAGCAATGCCAATGCAGCAGCAATGCCAATGCAGCAGCAATGCCAATGCAGCAGCAATGCCAATGCAGCAGCAATGCCAATGCAGCAGCAATGCCAATGCAGCAGCAATGCCAATGCAGCAGCAATGCCAATGCAGCAGCAATGCCAATGCAGCAGCAATGCCAATGCAGCAGCAATGCCAATGCAGCAGCAATGCCAATGCAGCAGCAATGCCAATGCAGCAGCAATGCCAATGCAGCAGCAATGCCAATGCAGCAGCAATGCCAATGCAGCAGCAATGCCAATGCAGCAGCAATGCCAATGCAGCAGCAATGCCATGCAGCAGCAATGCCAATGCAGCAGCAATGCCAATGCAGCAGCAATGCCAATGCAAGCAGCCAATGCCCATGCAGCAGCAATGCCAATGCAGCAGCAATGCCAATGCAGCAGCAATGCCAATGCAGCAGCAATGCCAATGCAGCAGCAATGCCAATGCAGCAGCAATGACAATGCAGCAGCAATGACAATGCAGCAAAGGGCCGCCAGGAAGTCACTGCACCCCGCTCCACACACCACACTCCACACACCACACTCCACACTCCACACACCACCCACTCCACACTCCACACACCACACTCCACACACCACACTCCACACACCACACTCCACACACCACACTCCACACACCACACTACACACACCACACTCCACACTACCACACACCACACTCCACACACCACACTCCACACACCACACTCCACACTCCACACACCACACTCCACACACCACACTCCACACTCCACACACCACACTACACACATCACACTACACACACCACACTACACACATCACACTCCACACACCACACTCCACACACCACACTCCACACACCACACTCCACACATCACACTCCACACATCACACTCCACACATCACACTCCACACATCACACTCCACACTCCACACATCACACTCCACACTCCACACACCACACACCACACACCACACTCCACACACCACACACCACACACCACACTCCACACACCACAGACCACACTACACACACCACATTCCACACACCACACTACACACCACACTACACACACCACACTGCTGACGGTGGAGGTTGATTGACAAGAAAACACAAGTCAAGTCATGACTCAAAGTGGTTGATGACATCTTTCTAATGATTGCTGAGTCTATAACCTTCCTCTCGATTGAAATTGTGTCTCTGTCTGTATACATGGATGGCTTCATGAACAAGTCTTTGTGGATAGCCAATCGTCTTAACATATTATGGTACAATCAAATTACTTAAATGGCTCCCGCTCTAGAGTGTAGTACAGGAATCCCTCGCACTTTCGTCTGATTAGGGACCAGAGCATGGACAAATGTCAAAGCAGAGCCTTTATTTAGCTGGCAAATTTATTTTGGCTGGCAAAAAACGTACATGCAAATAACTACAGTAACTATATAACACATGCATGCGAAACCTAAATAAACAGATATAAAAGAAAAATAAACGTAAGAATAAATACACATAAATAAATAAACAAAGTGTTACCTTGATATATTTTTTCTTGCGTAAGTGGACGATGAATATATTGGAAAATAACTATGAACACTGTTGTATTATACTGTTATCACAAAAATAATTATTAATTGTTTACAGTATAATCACAGAAATTAGTCCAGTATTAATAATATATGAATAAACACAAATTTAAGAGATGCTCACTGAACGACTTCTATTCAAAGACTGAACGAAAAAGACGGCGCGTGGCACGAACGTCGTGGAAGGTTTGGGATGAAATCGGACGAAAGAGGAGAGCCACATGGACGAAATTTGAAATGTGGTGATAATTGAAAACGGCCAAAAGAGCGAAGCGATGAAAGTCAAGTGGACAAAAGTCGCGGTATCGCAGGACACTTATTGTTGAATTGGCGCCAAATTTGCAGGGCACACCTGACAGGCTCGTTGCACGTACGTACGTATATTGTGTATGTGTGTATGTATGTTGAACTTCTTTCACACCGTACATAGTTAATCGGAGGTGCGCACGAGAATAAAAAAAGATGTGAAAATGCGCGGCTTATTTGTGCATCACTACACTCGGGGAATGGGGTCGACTCGTATGCTAATGAGCAGCTCGTGACCTCGCGGGGTCACAGGGTCACGCGTCAAATTACCGAGTAGTGAAGACGCGACTCTTTTGTGTGCAGCCTCAGCGCCGCGGTGGTGAGGTTTTTTTTTGCACAACGAGAGTCACTCAAAAAGGAGCAGTGACTGGCTCTGACTTCCATTCCATCGCAGTCACATAATTATTATAATTGATTTTCTAAATTACATTACGCAAGTTGATGCGGCAGTTGCCAAGGCATTTGGCATACATGCAGAAATGTTTAATTGATTGAAATCTTTATTTTGTTTCTATTACACAGCGGCTATTTTAAAACAACGCATGCTAATGAATGTACAGCTGAAGTGGCATTTTGGCAGAAATTGGGTCATACATTATTCATTAAGAATAAAGCGTGGAATGTTTGCATATATGAATGTTAAGTACAGAAACACTGTTTGCGTGAACGTGTGTGTGTGCAAGCAAATGGGGGGAGAGCGGTCTTGCAGTGGTGAGCGCGCGCTGTGTTACGAACCCGGCAACCCGAGTTTGATTCCCACTCACGACCAACACCGTTGCCGAATATCTGAACTGGTCCTGGGCCTCCCCGAGATCGATTCAGTCTTAAATGAGTACCTAGTGCGGTGTGTTAACATCCCCATGAGGGAGACAAAGGCGGCCGGGCGTGGTGCTCTGGACACTCACCCCCTCGTGTGCCCTGTCGTCCTTCAAAGGCGCTCGCTTAAAGCACTTGCCCCAATGGTCTAATAAGGCGACAAGAGGAATTTATTTTTTTGTATATACGCTCGTGTGTGTGTGCGCAAGCGTATGTGCGTGTGCGCATGGGTCAATGTGCGTGCATGCTATCGCATAGCACAGTCGTTGGAACAATATGCATTCTCTCTCAGCCTTGAATTGCTCCCCGCTGAGTGCATGGCAAGCTTCATATATCGCCGGTGCCATCGCTGAGGTGCATGTTTTTTGTGGCAAACAGTTTGTGTGCGTTTGTGCGTGCGTGCGTTTGTGCGTGCGTGCGTGTTGTGTGTGCGTGTTGTGTGTGCGTGCGTGCATAGGCCTGATAAACGGGGTGCAGGAAGAGTGCAAGCTGCAATCCTTGGACGACTTTCCACACTGCGAAACCAAACTCCAGGTATGCAAATGATGTAGCTCGCCGCTTCCCCCCCCTCCCCCGCTCATCACCATACCCCCCTTTGTACCCCCTGCCTTCCCAATTTCCTTCGGCGTCTGTGCAAGTGCCATTATTTTAAAGAAAGCTATTTTTGAATGCTGGGTTTTGTGTTCACGCTTGCATGATTATGTGGTGACGCTTCCTTAGTTCCAGTAGCTGGCGTGTCTTGATTGGCTGCTGCTTGTAATACGCACCAACACAATGAAGGAAACACACAAAAAAGCTTCCACTTCATTCTCTCAAAAAAAAAAATCCCACCTCGGCACAACCACAATAATATTAATAATAAACTCTTTTGTTTGTTTTTTCCATTTGCTAATGAATAAAAATGAGTAAAAGTTTACACTGACATTTATCAGCAATATGCAGCCACACGAACAATGCATTAACATCTTCTTGTTTCTTTCGGTAAAGTCACGTAGAAGGGAAGTAATAAAATAATAAAAATAAAACATAATAAAACAATTCTCACGACGTTTCGGCTACAACGCAAGCAGCCGTCTTCAGGTGAAGAATGAGACACTACCAAACTAGGAGCTTATATATAAGCTGCATTGGGGGTTGAAGAGCGCCTTAACAAAAAGAATGTGCATGTGAAGAGGGATTTAGCATATTCATGGAAAATGCGTAGGCGTTGGGCGGGGGGGTGTCAAAGTCATATTATGCCCATGCATTATGCAGGATCAGCAGCAACCAAGGGGGGTGCAGGGATTAGCAGTAACAAAGGAAAGGAATGTTAATGATATGTAGCTGCAGTTACTCAACAACCACGTAGAAAACTAAAGTATAAACTACATAAAAACTAAAGTATAAACTGCATCGCACCATCAGTATACTTACTATACTCTATAATAAGCTGAGTTACTAACAGCAAGTAATACATTACAATTTTACCTCGTAAAAATTCTATAATATGCTTCCATCTAAACCTTATTCTCTTACATCACACGAGCATATACCGTACTATATACTGCCATAGATAAACCCAACATTAAATTATATACTGTATTGCTGTAAACCAACCTATATCTTATACATTTAATATCACACTATGTATTATTCTACACACCCTAATGTGTATCGAAATGGTTTATTACGTCCTTCCAATGATTGCTGAGCCAGAATCCATCTTCTCGGTTAAAGTTGTCTCTGTGTTTGTATATGTGGATCGCCTCATGAACGAATCTCTCATGATAGCCAGATGGCTTGCAGAGAACCTCTGTCTTGGAGAAGTCAATATCATGTGAGCCCACTGAGTTGTAACAGTGATCTGCCACGGCTGAGGTGTTAGTCCTACCGTGTTTCAGGTCAGCTTTATGTTCACGGATGCGGTCCGAGACATGTCGTTTGGTTTCCCCAATGTAACTGCTACCACAGAGGCAACTTAGTTTGTAGACGCCAGGGTACTGTATGTCTGGAACCACATCTTTTACAGACGGTACCAGATCACGGATTTTATGTACTGTGTTGAATCGGACCTGGATCTTGTGTTTAATCAGGATTTTGGAGATCTTTTTTGTGACCCCAGCAATGTAGGGTAAGGTGATGGTCTTGAAAGGCTCCTCAACAGGATCCTTCTTGATGGTTGGAGTGATGGCTTTGCGGATTGTATAGTCGGAGTAACCATTTGCCTTAAGAGCTTGGCGTACGTGTTTGGCAAATGGTTACTCCGACTATACAATCCGCAAAGCCATCACTCCAACCATCAAGAAGGATCCTGTTGAGGAGCCTTTCAAGACCATCACCTTACCCTACATTGCTGGGGTCACAAAAAAGATCTCCAAAATCCTGATTAAACACAAGATCCAGGTCCGATTCAACACAGTACATAAAATCCGTGATCTGGTACCGTCTGTAAAAGATGTGGTTCCAGACATACAGTACCCTGGCGTCTACAAACTAAGTTGCCTCTGTGGTAGCAGTTACATTGGGGAAACCAAACGACATGTCTCGGACCGCATCCGTGAACATAAAGCTGACCTGAAACACGGTAGGACTAACACCTCAGCCGTGGCAGATCACTGTTACAACTCAGTGGGCTCACATGATATTGACTTCTCCAAGACAGAGGTTCTCTGCAAGCCATCTGGCTATCATGAGAGATTCGTTCATGAGGCGATCCACATATACAAACACAGAGACAACTTTAACCGAGAAGATGGATTCTGGCTCAGCAATCATTGGAAGGACGTAATAAACCATTTCGATACACATTAGGGTGTGTAGAATAATACATAGTGTGATATTAAATGTATAAGATATAGGTTGGTTTACAGCAATACAGTATATAATTTAATGTTGGGTTTATCTATGGCAGTATATAGTACGGTATATGCTCGTGTGATGTAAGAGAATAAGGTTTAGATGGAAGCATATTATAGAATTTTTACGAGGTAAAATTGTAATGTATTACTTGCTGTTAGTAACTCAGCTTATTATAGAGTATAGTAAGTATACTGATGGTGCGATGCAGTTTATACTTTAGTTTTTATGTAGTTTATACTTTAGTTTTCTACGTGGTTGTTGAGTAACTGCAGCTACATATCATTAACATTCCTTTCCTTTGTTACTGCTAATCCCTGCACCCCCCTTGGTTGCTGCTGATCCTGCATAATGCATGGGCATAATATGACTTTGACACCCCCCCGCCCAACGCCTACGCATTTTCCATGAATATGCTAAATCCCTCTTCACATGCACATTCTTTTTGTTAAGGCGCTCTTCAACCCCCAATGCAGCTTATATATAAGCTCCTAGTTTGGTAGTGTCTCATTCTTCACCTGAAGACGGCTGCTTGCGTTGTAGCCGAAACGTCGTGAGAATTGTTTTATTATGTTTTATTTTTATTATTTTATTACTTCCCTTCTACGTGACTTTACCGAAAGAAACAAGAAGATGAATCCCTGCAGTCACGAAAGCTTTAAATCGAAATGCATTAACACTTTTAATTTTGGCATCATCTTAACGCTGTGCGCTCGTGACGATGACACACGGCCCACATCACCGGGCGTTTGTCGGTGTTGTGGCAATTAAATCGACGCCTCCACTTCTGTCGCTCGGTCAAATTCTGGTGCATTGAGATGGCCAGCGGGCGAAAGCTCGCCCCCGTGTCTCCCTACCTCTCCGGCGAGCTTCCGTCGCCAACCTCCCCGTGCCGTGTCTTCCCGTTGGCAGTGGATGAAGGACATGTGGCAGTCGGACACGTGCTACGGCAGCTTTGGCGTCGACGGCTCACTGTGCTCCTTCATCATCTACCTGAGCGAGGTGCGTCAGCTCTGGTCTGCGGAGTTTTTGCCGGCTCGGCCCGGCTCGGCCCGGCTCGGCCCGGCCTGGCCCGGGGACGTGGCCTTCCCCATCCTAACGTTCAAACCTCGTCGACCGCCATGATGTAATTTGTAGGGCAGAGATGGTTACAACGAGCGTCTCGTGCTCTGGAGAGGAGGTTTGTAATGAAGCCCAATGATACGATGACATGTCGGGAGTCTGGATCACGACTCGATTAAAACAAATCTATAATTTTCTGTCCTGTGTTTACCGTTTGGCTTGTATTGTTTGCCATGGATAGATGTCTCTTATATGCATTTATCTGCCCTTCGCATTCAAATGTAACATGAGCATATGTCGTAAATAATAGATTGTGGCACACTTGATTCGATTGTGCACACCGCCCATCCATCCGTCGGCGTTCGCCGAGCTCCTCTGTTGGCACTGCGCTTGCACCTGCGGATCAGCCGGTTGCAGGAGCTTTGACTCTGCGCAAGGCGTGCACTGAAGCTTTGATTAAAGTGGACTGTTCGGAAGTCAGAGCGCTGAGCTGGCAATGCTGAGATCCAGGGCTTGAACACAGGCCTCTTGATCAAACGAGACGTAAAAAAGTATATATTCTTACGCTCGCGAATAAATGAGGATGTGCGGCGGCCATGTGACCCACAGCTGCGTTCTCGCGTTGAACCGACACTGCCGAGGCCCGGCGTTTGAACTCGCGCGCCAGGCCGAACAACGATTAATCGATTAAAAGTAGATGCTTGCATCTGTATCATGTCTCAGTTTTTTACTGCTGCAGAAAATTACGTCATCTTATGGATTAGACTGGTCCCCGTAATTTATGTGATTAGTTCAGGACCGCCAAGAGAGAACATCTCCCCAAAAACAGTTGTTTTGACTTTTTTTTTACATTGAATTAAGTGACCATTAGGTTGATGAGGCTCATTCGTGAAATCAGCTCTCGTGTCGGTGCTAGTGGTGGTTGAATACAGCGCTGGATAGTGAAGAGATGGCGACGATTTGTGGTGGCCTCCATCCAGCAGTGGATTTATCACGGTTGATTAATGTTGAGAAGAACCGGCAGCTAAATGTCGTGGAGATTTGAGGACGATCTGGTGACTCACTAAATCATTTACAAAGAACACTTTTTTTGACGAATTGTGTGCATCAGCCCACAGCCATCGCGCTGTCGGTTGATTCGCGTGTGGAAAAGGATGCTGTAGAAAGAGCTGAATATAAATAGTATATATAATATAGTGCCAAGCATGGGGGTAACACTTTCTCTCTCGCAGTGCTTCTAAATTACAACGCTTGTGTCAACACCACCTTCATCCCCAGGAGATAATAATTCACTGTACGGCAGTTAACGCAAATGTAAGCCACCCCACGCTCTTAATGAATTAAATTATTTAACAAAATTTGCATTTTCCTAATTACCTCAAGACTCGTTCAGTGTTAAACGGCGAGGTCGAAGAGCGACGAAAAATGACGGTGACGATCACGGCTCGCTTCTTGGCTTCCATTGTTTATTTCCGAGAGCGATCATTCAAAAAGTAGACGGACCGCAAATAGGTAAATATATTCATCAGCATGGCTGCAGAAATAATTGTTACCAATTTAGAGATTTTCAAGAGAAAAATATTTGGTTCGTTTTTGTTTGTTTGGACAGTTTATATCTGGGACTTAAGGTCGGTTGTGGTGACTGTATTGTATATGGGCTTCATGGCAGAATGTCGTGCGCTTTTTCTGATAGTCGTGAGTGGGAGTGTAAAGTGTGCAATCGTAGGATGGTTATTGCATTACCCATGAGAATGCGTGTGGGGGGGTGTGTGTGTGGCTTTTTTCCCAGCGTGCTCAAAAATAGCAGCTCGTACCTTTGGCCTACAGACATGGCAGTGTTATGAGAAATAGCCACTTGTACTATCATGTGAAAAGGTGTGCAGTCTTGAGACGCATTAATCTCTTCTGCGTTAGTGATCCTTAAACACAAGCGCACTTATCCTAGACACGTTGCGTGCCTGTATTTTACTGTCTGCATTGGATTTTTTTGTGCAGTCAGGTTCGAATGTAAGAAAATTACTGACTTTGTGGAGACAGTTATACATTTTACATAAATAAAAAATATAATTTGACGTCTCCTTAAATTTATTTGGTGTCGGAGATATTTCTCGCCCCTGAACGCAAACTTGTGTTGATGCTTATTATGTGATTGCGGGTTTTAATCATCGGCCCGCAAAGGAGTGGCTGCATGGATAATTGGATCCCTGCATGCAGTCTTGCCCCTTTCCCACACAACAAAAGGCACGCTTCACAAGGAACCGTGTCTAATGAAATCCATACGTTTCATAGTAGGAATGTTGTTTTGTCGGTGTGTGCTCTCCGCAGTAAATTAAGTGTTTTTACACCTATCCAGTCCATCAAGGATAATTGGCAGTGCATTCTCACATTCTACCAACTGCATTTATTCCTTTCTTTTTTGGGCTTGTCATAGACTGTCTGGTTTGTGTTAAAAGGAACACATTATTTATGTGAAGAGAGGTAAGCAAAGCCATCCTTGGTATAAAATACATAATTTTGATTATTCAGACTTCAGTCAAAACGTGCACCATTATTACCACCACCACCACCACGAAGGTGTAGTTCATAGCTCCCATTGTCCTCAACATCATCAAGACAGTCATTGGAATCGTCATCGTAATTCCCACCGTTATCTTTATCATGATCATCTTCCCATTGACGCCCAGAGGCGGCATGTGCGAATGCGGAGGACTGCCGTGTGTCCATCGCGGGGGCTCGGTGCTATGGCTCCGTATCGACACCGCCGCTCACAACCTCGCCACCCCCCCCCTCCCTTACGGCATCGCACCGCTCACCACGTCTCCACGTGGTTTTGCCCATGTGCTGCAGACTCGTTCCGCGTCGCGTGCAACCTCGCTCCGTTTCCCTCACACGTTTAGCTTGCATCTGCGTTTGTTCTGGAGGAGCTCGGGGCGTCCTCAGCGTTTGTCGTAAGGTGACGCCGCATTTTTCTTTGTCTCAGCAATTAAAAACGCGCTAGTCCTGGTTAATTCTGTTGCGAGCTCTCGCAGATAATGTGTCCACTATTCATGCCGCCCGGCCGCTGCTGGTGCCCCCCCCCCCAGCCTGCAAGTTCCACCTCCAACACTTGAGTTTGTGCCGCCTATTGTCTGCTGCTCGATGTTTCACCACCACGCTTCCAGTTGCCACTTCCGTGCGTCAGTGCCCCATTCAATCGTTACCCTGAGGAGTTACTGGCTGCCGTGGTTTCCACGCCTGCTTTGTTTTTTCTCTCTCTCCCTTTTTTCGTAACTTATTGATCAACGAGCTCGGTAATAAAATAAATCGAAATCCTTTCATCTTGAATCCAACGCCAAGATTGATTGCCCTTGTAAAATAGACATTGATCCTTTTTTTAAAACAGCGCAACACCTACTTATTTTTAAATAAGGTTTTCGTTAGCCTTGGCTTTGACTCTCTATTATTAACATTCGACAATAAGTCCCCTCGTTTCGTCTCTGTGCACTGTTTTTTGGTGTCCAGCTGTCCGCTGCCTGCGTGTATTCCAAATAACGAGACGGTTTTACCAATGTTTTTGTCATCGCAGCCTGCTCTAGACGTGTGCCATTGCTTTCCTCCTCCAAATGTCATCTTGAAAAATGTTCAACCTTAAGTTGGCACCCAACAGCAAATGTAGCTGTCATCGCAAGCAGTGGGCAGGTAAATAGTTTAGACCAAAAATAAAACGTCGGCATCTGCACAGGCCTGTCTGCATATTTGTTCTCACGCTGGATGTGAAAAGACATATAAAGACCTTTTTGTACCCTCCCGTGTGAATTGCACATTGTTTAAATGCATCTCACGTATAGGGGAACTGTAAAACTATACAGACACCTTGGTTCCTCATATCACGAGGATGACCTTGCCAAGGCTGTTTCATTGCCCACCGAGAGGAACAGAAGCGATCAGTCTTTCATAAATATTGCAATATTTACTTTTATTCTTGTACGCTGTCACGGCCCAGTTACTAATCTACATGTTAACATATTCCTATTGTCTTTTTAGCACGTAGTGCAGCGACACGGCCTAGAGGTAGCGTGTTTGCCATTTGCTGTGGAGGTTCACTCGTTTGGAATTCAGCGGCCGCCCTGGTTATTGCTGCGCGTGTCACAGCTGTAATAAAAACTACGCGCACTCTGCTTCGCAGCGGATGTTAAAGATCCCGGATGTCATTCGCGAGAGTCAACCGTTATGGGGCTGTGTCCGGATCCCAACTTTTGCGAATAAAAATATTATCTGCAGATTACTCAAGTGGGGTTGTACACAGATATCGTTGCTTTCTACTGACAAGCGAGTGACCCAGGTCACTCCATAAATGATACTCTGTCCTGGTCTCTTGAGTGCTCACCTGGTTAAACATAATAAACTTGCGATGTGGAATCAACTTCCTCATAAAAGAACAAGAGGAGGTCACGAGATGCTAGCGATAACAGCTGTCACCTTTAACGGCTTTGCGTTATCTCCTTCTGTACCTTGGCCTGTTTGGTTTGCCCGCAGAGATGATAAACGTATGAACGTTGTCGTTGCAGGTGGAGACGTGGTGTCCTCAACTTCCTTGGAGAAAAAAAGTCGCCAAGCCTGAAGGTCCCCTGGTGAGGATAGGCAGCCCAGCGAGGCTACACTCACCGTCGACATTTGGGCTGCTTTTTATTGGCTTGCAACAGTCAACGGGGTTGCAAAATGTACGAAGGCTGTTTAAAATAAACGCGTGTGCCTCAAATGCAGCTTGATTGCTGTGCACCTTGTAAAGTTTTGCAATGGAACTGATTGTGCACATGCAGTCATGCACACTTGCAAGGCCTCAAGAGGGTGTTAACCATAATGCTTTTTAGCACTTAAAAAAATTGCTGCTAATTTTATAAACACAGGCGCTGAAGTCTTTGCGCAAAGTGATTGTGTAACAATGTACAGTCCTCAATTTCATCGCTGGATAAAGGCCTCCCCCGCGACCTTTCGGTCATTTGGGATTGCTTGACCATACTTCACCACCATGGGCAGTGCTCGAGATTCGAATTCGGATCACCGGGGTCAAATTACAATACACCAATCACCGCGCCACCACTCTACCCCTTATGTACCATCGCCCGGCTTGAACTCCCTAATGCAGACATTTAACCACATGCACTGCGCTCAAGTATCAGTGAGGACAACTAGCGGGGTCACCCTGTGGGGTAATGGGGAAATTGTTCCAGGTTAATAAAAGAACATAATTTAAAGACTGAGCAATGGTTAACCCTGCCACCTCTCTGTTCCAGTATGACACCACCACCTGACCCCATGTTCATTTTTGTGTGCCGCGCTGACCTTAATGGGTGTTGGCTTGTAGCACTTGCCCCAACAATCTCTTGTTCACGGCTCAAAGAGGAGCATTGGCTTTGTTTATGACTTTATTGTACGTGTGTGCGAGCGGAGCGGTGGTGCAGTGGGTTAGCACACTGCCCTACGAACCAGGTGACCCAAGTTTAATTCTCGGCCATGGCTCGCATCAGTGGCGAGTGATATCTGAACCGGTCTGTACCCTCCCCTAGGTCGACTCGGCCGTAAATGAGTACGTGCTGCGGTGTGTAAAAATCGACACTCGAACACAGCACTGCTTGGGGTGCCTTGCGTAATTTTCCTCTATAAACTATAAACTAAATCTAAACTATTTATATCTTACCAAGTAAGTCCCTCTAAGCTACATGGCTCTTTATCAGAAGTGACCTGGACACAAATGATAGCTCAACGAAGTGGTTTATCACGTGGAAATTTCGGTAGTTCATTCGTTTCTCAGTCCGCTTGTCCTGGCGAGGTTCTAGCTCTTCCTGGGGAATTCCCAGGCATTCCCAGGCCAGCCGAGCGACATCGTCCCGCCAGCGTATCCTGGGCTGGCCCCGGGGCCAAATACTCTGCACGTTCGTTTCTAAATGTGGAGGGAAAAACCAGAGGTCCCGGAGAAAAATCCACGCGACCACGGGGAGAACATGCAAACTCCAAATATACAGGCGTTGGGGGTCTAGATCGAACCCACGACCTGTATACCAGGTGAGGTGGTTAACATCTCGCCACTGCGACCTAAATAGGTGCTCGCTAACAACGTCCCCCAACAGTCTGCTGTGCGCGGCAACCCGTTGTCTTTACGTGCGTTCCGCAGGCGGAGGTGAAGACCGACTTCAAGCAGCTGTTCCACCGCATGGCGTCACGCGAGGAGTTCCGCTGGATGAAGATGCGCATCCTGCGCATGGAGGAGTCGTGGCTCGCGGCCGTCCGCTCGCTCTCGGAGGAGCACGACTTGCAGGGCCGGACGCGCAAGAAGGTGAGCGCGTCCGTCTTCCAGCTCGCTGCGCTGCCACCAGTGCCGCCACCAGCGCTCCCACCGCCGCTGCTGGCTCTGCTGCTGGTGCTGCTGCTACCGCTCGTGCTGCTGGAACAGTTGACCCTGCTAATGCTGATACCGTTGGAACTTGATGCTGATGCACCTCATACTGCTGATGTTGCAGCTGATGCTATGGCTTCTGCTGATACTGGAGCTGATGCAGCTGCTGCTTCTGCTGCTGCTGTGCATGGTGGCAATCACGGTGCCAGTTCTTTCAATGGCTCTGGGCCCACAAGGCTTTGGGTGTCTTGAGTTGGCAGGCACGACTATTAATTGGCAGAGCACTCTTGCAATTAGATGCTTAACACGCCACCTGTGCAGCGATTAGTGAATCTGGGTCGCAATTCGGTTCAACTAGAAATTACTTCACCTTGTTTTTCCATCTCATTTCTATTGTTTCTCGCATCTCCTCTCTAATTTATACTGCTCCAGTCATTTCGTTAGCCTACATGTAATACATTTGTAGTGGGTTCTACGGAGGCACACACTTGAACTTGGAGGCAACACGTTTATTACACGGCCCTAACAGGGCTACTACTTAAACGTCACAGCAGGCTAACTGAACCCCAACAGGGTAACTACATAACTGGGTCCGTCAGTAACATACTGCCTGACCCACGATGCCGAACGTGACGACCGAAGACCGATAACCGAAGAGACGTCGCACCGAGGGTTCCATTCCAGCAGACAGCCGCGATTGCTCTCGGGACCTCCCCTTTATGCTCCCGAGAGGCGTGGCCTCACTCCCCCTTTGGCCACGCCCCCCTCTGGATCTCACCAGAAGGTTCTCGACCGAGCATCACGTGCCCCTCAAGCCCACTTCCATGCCATACCTACTCTGGTGCTAGAGAGAGGTTCAAGACGTACAGTTTCACTATTGTGACAGTCGCTGACACTAAACGCCATAGTGACTCCATTTACGTCACTACACATTTTTCACACGCGAACTATTCAGTGCAAGCGAGTGTAAAAATCAATCTTCGATCGATGAGGCAACGCGTCACCGGTTACCCCGTCGGGCCAAAACGGCATCCGGCCCCCGTGATGGTAACGAGGCCGCTGCTTCATCGCAACCAGCGCCGTTACCCCGAGACCGCTGTCCAGCAACCTTGTCAGCCTCGTTGTGTCATCCATAGCTGCGCGCTCGGGGTGTCAATCGGCGGCGAAAGTGCCGTGGGGCTCTTGCCGCACGTGTGCAGCCCTGTCTGTGCGTCGTCTCGTTGATAGCCGTGGCCGTGTGGGCGTTATCTATTGGCGACGAGGTCGACACTCGCAGCCACATGTCATCGTTCTTTGCTACGGTATTGTTGCTGTTGTTGCGCATTAATGAGGCCAGCCGACGTTTTGACTGTGTTGGCTCCTGGACACAATCGACTACAATCCATCCGGTGACTCGTTGTGTGTCTGCAGTTGTGTTGAATATCCTGTTCGCACAACAGGTCGCGGGGTCGGGAGTGATGTGATTGCAGACCTGGGGTAAATGGTAATTGTGCAATTCGTGATGAATTACGATCGCATTGTGACAATTTGATTGTAAACGTTGTTTCAGTTGACATTGTTCACGTGGAATTATAGTCGACCCCAGGTCAATGCTAAATGGGGGAATCACGCTGATCGTGGGAGAACCTTGGCTTCCTCCCGTCGCGTCACCCGCTCCTCGCCCCATGCCCGCCTGTGGCAGATTCTGGTTCACCTGGGCCTCCTGACGAAGGAGTCGGGCTTCAAGATCGCGGAGAGCGCCTTCTCGGGCGGCCCGCTCGGGGAGCTCGTGCAGTGGGGAGACGTCATCTCGGCCCTCTACCTCCTGGGTCACCACATCAAGCTCTCCGTGTCCGTGTCCGAGCTGCGAGAGTAAGCGCGCATCTCTCGGTCCCTCCCCGCTTCGCCTCCGTGTGCTTCACTGACTTTGACTTTACTTGGGCCAACTGCGGAGTAGACAGCGGTATTAAAACGAGTGTTCAGATGTTCAAACACCAAATAGATACCTATTTCAAGGCAGCAAGTCTAAATTAACCACACGTACTTGTGGAAAAACTTAAAGACAAACATGCTCTGATAATATTGCCAGAAAGGATAAAGCCTATTCTTATTTTTTTCATCATTTTGATGCTGGAAACAAGGTCCCATGAAGACTACGGTGTTGTTCTCGGGCACCGCGGTGGCAAGAAGTTAACTACCTCGCCTGGTATAGAGGAGATCGTGGGTTCGATTTGGAGTTTGCGTGTTCTCCCCGTGATCGTGTGGAGTGTTTAGCTGCAGTCATTTGTGGCCCAGGTCGCTGCTGAAAAAGAGCTACGAAGCTCATTGGGCCTTACCTGGTAAAATAAAAATAGTAGTTAAACGAAATGTCAACATTGTATTGCTGTTTACCTGTTCGGGGAGTCTCAGCTCCTGATGAAAGACAAATTAGCCTGTGTTTGGCCCCCTGTCTGAAACGTTTGGAGCAAATTTGACCATTTTTTCTCGCCTCTGGCTGGCGTCTCCCACCGCAGAGACGCCTTGCAGTGCTACTTTCATCATATAGCCATACGCAAGATGTTGAGTTATTATTGGAAATTTCCAACAGATTCTCGCTAAGCAAAGCAGTGATCAGATTTGTCCAGATCTGGGAAACTAAAATAAATTGACAAATAAAACCGGCACAAAAACCGTTGCCTTAAAATTGTCCTCGTGGTTTTAAATAAAAAAACTAAAAATCTCACCTGGATCATTTCTAACTTGAAGAGTTGGACAACATTTGTTCCAACATTGCATTCACTCATTGTCCACTGTGCACATGTTCCACTTTGTGAGAAGCTACCTGTAATCACCAAATGGATGGAGAGACTTGGCCCTGTCTCATTTGTTGGCCTTCGGGTAACGGCAGCCAACAGAGATGAGCACTGCCGCCATTGCTTGTTACCCTGGGAGACGCTCCACCTTGTCTCCATTTTAGTAACGTTTCTTATTATGATTCCATGCAATAATTATGAATTCATAACCCTCGCCGCAGAGAGAGAGGGTTATGTAACGGAATGCCGCTGTGTAGTTGAGTGCGTTGTGGCGCCGTAGTTTCATTTCTGCTTTTATCTTCGGTCGGTCATCATAAAAATAGCGAGTCATTGCTGTCAGTGAGATTCCTCAAGGCAGTAACATATAGACAAATCGGGATTGGTTCACTAAATCCACGGAGAAAGGCCCAAACATGTTTCAAGTGTGTTAGTCTAAGTACACTACTGGCTCACACTTATAGTTTCCTTTTCCATTCACTTCTCGTTTCATCTTTCCACGCAGTCACTATGACATCAGTGCCCTCGATTTTCACAGCGACCACGTTGGGAGCTAACAAAACGCTTCCAAGTTGGCCTTTACAATAAGTGAGCGGGTTCTGTGTTGGCCATTTCATTTCCAAGCCGCTCTCATCGCCCCAGTGTCGATTTACGAGTGAACTCGGCTCCTTCTGACTCGGACGCCTCCACTGTGGTGCCAGCGGTGGGACGACCCAGAGTCGTCTGCTCCACCGAGGGCCACATTGAATCTTCGCCTTGCACATTCTGACGCGTCAGCAGCTGGCTTGTCTGACTTCAAGCGGGTGACCAATGTCCATCCCCTTCGCCGTGTCGTCTCTCTCGCGCCATACTTAGTCTCCATCGGCCACTGAGACATTTTCTCGATCGATTTCATTGATCGTGATGAGAACGCTACTAGAAAGACGCCTCTCGCTGTCTCGCGATGGAACTTTGTATGCCATGATAATTTTATTTCACTGTGGCTGGTGTTTTTGCTCTTTCGTGCAGTCGTTTTTTTATTTGTGCCTGAACTTCAAGGTTCAACTTTTGTTGCCGAGTTAATGTGTGCAGCTTTTACATTCCTGAATGCGAGTAGCGTTTATTGCAATGCTGTAACAAAGTTCGCATTTGCATCCCTTTGGCTGTCTTGAGCACTTGACAAAGCCTTGTGATAAGATGTTGGAATTGAGGTCATCACTACACCTGTATTTTTCACGCAGAGTATCCACCCCCTGTAGATACCATCACAGCTTTCATCTCCAATGGTAATTTTTCAAAGCAATCAAAGCTCACTTGAGGCCCCTTCAGAGTCTTTGCAGCTCAGGGGCTTTGGAACTTTGAATGCAAGTGAACGCCACACGGCGTTAGGTTGCTATGGGACCCCGAGCTGTAAACAGTTGCAAGCTCTGTGCCCAGAATGCACCGCAGGGCTCCTCTGTGGATTGTGGGCGCGAAAGACCTCCACTCAGCACAATTCTCACATATATTTATATCCTGCATGCAAGTCTCTCAACTTGCTAGACAGATGGGCAAATGCTGTTATGTATGCAGCTGCATAGAAAACACATACTAATTTTATTCAGTATTTTTACAATCACAATCTTTTTTTTAGCCGGCCCTTTGTTTTAATTGAAAGTGTGACCTAGAATTCATTGAAGTTGATCAACCTCGGTGCAGCTCTGCTTACTATCACAGATTCAAAAACGTTTGTGTACACGCGTAATTTCGTGTTTTCTACGTGCGTGTGTGTGCGTGCGTGTCACCTGACACCCCTGGACACCCCTGGATACCCCTTGTAAACGGACGACCCCCGGGTATCGTATTTTATATATAATTTTAAAAATTAATGAACGGTGGTGACGTGCGCCGTTGATGGCGGTGTTTCCCGCCGCTCAGGGTGATGAAGCGTGTGGCCGGCGTGAAGTCCGGGTGCCCCGTCAAAGGGGAGAAGGTCGTCGACCTGATCTACATCGACATCGTGGGCCTTACGCAGTTCAAGAAGGCCGTGGGTCCACCCTGGGTCCACTACCAGTAAGCACCGCCCTCTGCGCTGCACGCTCGGAGATTCGTGCAGCGCGGCGGGGAAATCTCGTCCCTTCCACAGTGGAGGGGGGGGTACCCTTGGCTAAATTATTCGCCTGGCTTTGTGTTCGGTGAAAATCATCGTAAATCATTTAACCAATGGGGAAAATGAAGATTATCCGTAATTGCTTTCCTTTCAATTTATTCAAATTATACGCGCTACCTGCTGGTGCGCGCACAATTGTGCGACTTGTCGCAACTATTCTAATCCTCCGGCCTTTCGACTGGAGAGCGGGCGCGCCTTTTTTGGCGCCACAGCTAGAGGAAATTATCTTGGGTGTCTTCGCTCGCAAATTAAACTGCTCACCGATCTACACTTCCCACCCCCTGGTCCCCCGTGCCGCGTGAACGAAGCGCAAACGGTCCTCGTGAGTGCTCGGGATGCCACGGTTACGATGGAATCCGCTTGGGTTCCCCAGCAGCACTGCAGTGGCTTGGCAGAGGGAAGCGACACTTCAACGCCTCTTCTCTCCCCCCCCCCAAAACCCCAACCCTCCCCCTCGCCGCACGCGAGCGCAGGTGCATGCTGCGAGTCCTCGACTCCTTCGGGACAGAGCCCGAGTTCAACCACGCCCAGTACGCGCAGTCCCGCGGACACAAGACGCCCTGGGGGAAGTGGAGCCTCGTGCCGCGCCAGTTCTACACCATGTTCCGTACGTCGCGCCCGGCCGGGGTTACGGGTCGACCGACGCGTGCCGGTATCTGGAGGTGGCGGGTGGTGCTGTGCGGCGGTCGACCGAAGCGGTGGGGAGGCGAATGTCGTCGCGCACGGTGCTGGGCACGCCGACCCCTTGCGGTGCCACGCCGGCCTTAATAATTAATAGGTGCTTGCTAACATTGCTGGGCCCCAAGTTTGGGCGAAATTCATCGGTATTTGTTGCGGCTCCAGGGGTAGTATGGGTGCAGCAATTAATGCATTCGTCGATTAACTTAAATTTGCCTGCATGATTTGTGTATCTACTCGTGTGCGTAATCAGTTTATCGGTTTGTGCGTGTCGTGTGCAATGAGTTCAGATCTCCGCTGCAGCCACTGGAGATGCCCTTATTTCACCGCAAGGTTGAAAAAAAAATTCTATTCTCGAATGGAATCTCGACCCTGAATCGTGACAAATCCTCATCGTCCTGGGGGAAGTGGAGGAATGTGTCGGGGAGTTGTTCCACCAAAATAGAAAACGAATAAAAAATATTGACGAACCAATAATCCATGTTTTAGTCCTTCAGCCAACCTATTAACCTCAATGTTATCCTGCAGAATGTATTTCATCTCTGGAATGGTTTCCACCTTCGAGGTGTCATGAGCAGTCACGCACTGCTGCATTGTCTGATGTTATCGGCAAGAGCATTCCACCTGCACGATGGGGCCCTGTCAGCGCAAAAAAAACCACATTACAATATAAAAACCTCGTTATGCATTGTCGTAAAACAGAATTTCACGCAGCACAAGTCCCGTCCTTTATTTATCCAGGACCAGATGCGCACCGTCACACCAACTATGAAAACAGCTTGGGATTTGCACTCGCGAGATAGGTGATGTCGATAACGTGCCGTGGCCACCGCACGCATGTGGCGGTGCACTGCCCAACGCTGTCGGGGATGGGTGGGGTTATTATTTTTAATAATATTTATTTTCATGAACTGTGCTCCTGTCCTTGTGGACGTGTTTCTACTTCGAGTTTGCGTGCCTCCGAGGATTGATGACTGCGCTGCGAACCCAATTTACTAAACGATGCTTGATGGAGAAAAATGAAGTGACAGAGTGTCTTAATATCTGTTTCACATCGGATGCTGTCATGTTCAGTGTCGCGTTAGAATAACATTGCCGCTGACCTTACGGGCGTGTGGGCGTGTGGGCGGGCGCACGCACGCGCGCGTGAGCGTGTGCTCGTGCGTCCGTATAGGCCTGCCTGTGTCCTCAATACCGGGCTAATTTATGGAAGGGCCGTGTTGCCTTGGTACACTGCTCGTCTTCACAAACCCCCCCCCCCCCCCCCCCCCCCCGCTGTTTCTGTGAAGAACACATTTAACCTCTATACAGGTTGTAGTATTATTTTTATTGTTTAAAAATCTCAAAAAACGATGCAACAACCAGAAGCTAAATCTGTTACGCACAAAATCAATGCTACAGTAGCTACAGCACTAAACCCGGACTGCCCGACATGGCGTTCATGTGCAGCATGGCGACGCAGTGAACAACAACATGAGCAGCAGCAGCTCGGGATTGTGTTGCGCACTTTGTTCAGTTCTCGAGCTCTGTCGGTTAGATTGCGTTTACTTTACACGTAAATGCCGCCTCTTCTTTGTTCGTCGTGTTGTTCCCGCGGGGCCATGGAATATCTGCAGAGCAAGGACACACCGCATGACTTCCTCTGCCGTCTACCCACAATTCCTCGCATTTTTCAATGGCTTAAATTTCTTTGGTTTGTCACCGAAACTCCTCGCCGTATGTGTGACGCGTTTGCTATCCGCCCGCGCTATTTCTCTTGGACGCACTTGTAGATGCCTACCTCCTGTAAAACGCTTGCTCACGAGTCCGTGTATATGCGTGTCCTTCATGTGTGCAGCCCACACGCCCGACAACAGCTTCCTTGGTTTTGTGGTGGAGCAGCACCTAAACTCGAGCGACGCGGCTCACATGGAAGATGTGAAGAGGCAGAACCAGTCTCTGGTCTACGGAAAAGTGGACAACTTCTGGAAGGTACCGTGTGTGCGCGTGTGCTTGCGCGCGAGTGTCATTCCGTTGCAAACGTGCAGACCAGAGTTCGATTCCCGGCGGAAGCGAACATCAATGGCGAATAATCCCAACCAGTCCTGGGCCCTCCCTGCGTTTCACTCGGCCTTAAATGAGTAGCCAGTGCGGTGGGTGAACATCAGCGCAGGGGAAACAAAGGCAGTCGGTTGCGGTGCTGGCCCTACCTTCCCCACATACGGCACGGCGGCCTAATGAGGTACGCTCACAGCACTTGCCACAACAGTCTAAAATCTTTGACTTTGTTTTACGTGTGTGTTTTTATTTGTGCACGAGTCTCAATTAAAATAAAGAATATGTGAATGTTTACTCTCGATCTGCCCATTGCTGTCCGTGCTTAAAATGTTCTCAGGATTTCTGTAATTATAATTTTTTTTGTTTGCTTGGTACTGCAATTACCCCCAACCACCCCCCCCAGCACGAGCCTTGAGACTCGGCGAGGCTTTTTGCGGTAAACGGCACGCGCTCCTTTTGTTTTGTTATCGCAATACCCTCGGCGCGGAGTCGCGGGCCAAACCACCGGTCGGTGTGACCGCTGCGAACGCACGCACAAACGCACGCACGCTAATTACTCCGCTGCACAATGCGATGACAGGGACCCATTGTGCGACACGCGCACGCTTCATTAACGAGAGCAGCCACAATGGGGGCAAACAGGAAGCACGGAAGCAGATATCGTCGTCGCCATTGAAACCCCCTTGTTGATTTGTTCTCTGTGGAGGCAAGAAAGATATTAAACACTGCAGCCCTGCAGCCGCTCGCTCACACCACTGCCCGCAGCAGGGCCTCGACTCGAGGGAGCACCAGAGAGCCGCTCTTGCGGGCATTTGGCCACCTCTTCCACACACGCCACCCAAGACAACTTGGAAGAGGCGAGAGTGCGCCCACTTATTCCCACCGCACACGACCTGCCCATGCACTAATTATGGTGCTGCACCCATTTGTACCGATGGGTGCACAGACGCAGTAGAGGGTTGGGTATTTATTAAATGTGAACCGTTGTTCCAGCTGCCGCGCCAGGAGGTTGAATATAGCCGGCGACTTCTGCATTGCTAAGCGTGACACCTTTGTGAACAGCATTCCCCGTGGCTTATTTAAAATAAGTCCGATTCGTTTAGAACCGTTTATTTTCACCACGGCTGCGTGCAGCTGCTGTGAATGCGTGTCCCGCTCTGCCATTCTCGGTTTCGAAATGCCTGCCGTCGCAAACGGCCGTGTAGGATTAGCGCGACGCGGTGCTCGGGGGGGGGGGGGGGGGGCACGAGGTGGGTGGCTGCGGTAGGGAAGTGGAATTGCCAGGGGGAGCAGAGGGGTGATGGGTGGGTGGGGTGGCGCAGGGCCACACACTGAAAGTACGAAATGGGCTTAAATAATAGATTTTCTGGCACTGATGGAAAAGGCCGGCGCGCATGATGGGGATGTCGGCGCTGACGAAGTGCGTGCGTGCGCGCTGCGCCGGTTGGCAGTCGTCGGCTTGGCCGTTTGGTGTGTTGCCTCAAGGGCTTCCGCCACTGCACGAGGAACTTAGCAGAGGGACGGGGTTCGTCAATGGCAAGAGGCCTCGCTCGTTCGTGCCGTGGCAGCGAATTCAAATATCTAGTCTGTGATGTTTACCATGATTTGTGGCATATTTTCATCATCGTCATTGTCATCATTACCAGCCGTGGTCAATCCGTTGATAAATAAAGGCATCCTCATGCCATCTCCGTCATGGCTCGTGGTCCTGCGACACCACAATCCATCTCACTCCTGGGTGTGAACGGACCTCGGTTTACTTTTTTTACTTACAATTTGAAAAGAATCAGGAACCATGAATCACAATCACAAAACACACATCAGTAATGCTAGCATCCACAAAGTTACTTTGGGGCAAATGAACCGACTCGCTCACCAACCTCGAATATACGAACGTCTTTGATCAACGTCCCACCGCACCAAAGAAGTGAACTCTTGTCCGATACCGAGCAAAGTGTGCAGAGCGGTGATTGTACCGTGACCCGAAGAACCCGTGTGGTGTAAACATCCCATCGCTGCAGCCAGTGCTGGAGGGATTGGGTGTTTAAGCAGTGGCTTTTGGCTGGCCATCGAACAAAAATGGTCACTGCATCGCGTGCTTTCAGATGTGCTCCTCCTTCCGATATTAGGAAGCCACGGGAGTTGTGCACTTTTAAATCTAGATAGAAAACTCGTTTCTTAAAAACTGATTTTTGTGTTTCGTTTATTTTCTTTAAACCGCACCTCTTATCACCACGGTTGGCTATGTATGGTGTGAAAGAAGTTCAACCTACATGCAAACTGTGTATACTTGCAGCTTGTATGGTTTCAACAGCCAGCACTTTATTGGATCTTAAATTAAAGTACACACCCCTCCCTTCCCCCCCAAAAAAATCCGTGTAATTAAATTCGCTGTTATGAAAACATGATACTTGTAAGCGGTGTCCTTACGTAGACAAAAGGCTATGAAAAGTGAGAGCCCCACAGCCCGTTCCCGCTTAGAATAACAATAACAACAACCACCAGACAGGGGCTTGTCCAGTGCTGGGGCTGTGCTCATGGGGGCTGCCAACGAGCAAGCGACAACAACAACAACAACAACGCCGCCTTGCAGGGTAATGAGCACTCCCTGAAGCAACATCACCGCTTGGGGAAGTAAAGTCTATCGGCTCACCACATGTCTGTCGCGTCCTGTACAGGAGCGAGGTGTCGCGTTGGATCGCTTGGCGACGATTAAAGATGGCTAGTACGCTCACAATACACACGTATTGAGTAATGTAACATTTAGGCAATTTGAGGGAACAAAGCTATACAAACGGGACGAACGAACCGAGATGATTCGACGTTTTGCCCGAATCAAAACCAAGAATTGTGATAATTAATCAAATCACTGGAGCGGCTGGCCAACGTGCACCATTACATCCCTCACTCGGGCACCGACGCTAAAAAAAGATTTTGCTCGTGTACACGATCTCCTTCAGTGCTGTGCCCTACGATCCTGGCAACCTGGCTTAGACTCGTGGCCAAACGGAGCACAGCAACGCCAAGTGGTATCTGGGCTGTGCATCGGCGCTGCCAAGACACCGGCAGTCAGCCGCGGCCACGATTGGCCGCGCTGTGCCCGTTCCACGGCTGCTCGCTGACGGCAACAGTCGTTGGGCTAATTGTGGATCATTGTCTGCCCTTCTTATCACGCACGCACGCTCACAGTCGCTGAACAAAACGCGATGGAACAATTCACCCCCCACTCCTTGCGAGCCAACGAAATGTCACATTTTGAGGTCTCAATTCCATTCATGGATCGTGTCTCGTTTTTTTTATTTTGGGTTCAGCATCCCTCGCCGCAGCAGAGGTCGCATTAACCCGTGTCATAATTGAAAATAATCGATTCTTACGCGCTAAAATACAAGGATGTAATGTAACATGAAGAATAGGCTTCCTTAACCTTGTGACACATGCACCCCTATTAAACAGTCTGCAAATTTAATCAAGAAACTTATTAACATTTTTTTTCTGTAACCGACATTGATTAAAGACCAAACGTAGTCTGCAAAGCCACTGTTGTGTTTTGAAAACGAATTTCTTCAGAACTGCTTTTTGCGTTTAATTTGTCCTACCCTCGCAGCTCAAATTAGCACGGTTGGCTACGTACGCTGCGACAATTTGTACATGCATACACAACATGCTACGCATTTTCACTCAAGTCTCGCGACGACGCTGTGCGGACCCGCGCACTTGGGTGGGGCGGGCACGGCGCCGTGTTTGTGCTGAACGAGCACAGCGGCCGTGTCGGCGTCAAGGCCTCTCGAGGTGAGGATGAGGCAATGGCTCGCAGCTCGCCATCACCTCTTGGGCTTGTTATCTCGCGCATAACCCGAGACCCGTGCAGAGTACAAAGACTAGAACCGGGCCTTGCCCCACCCCTGGATAGTCACGCCAGCGGGGGTCCTCACAGCGAGCGTCTCCATCTGGAGGTTTCAGCAGGTGAATTCTCTTCCCGCAGAATCTCCCAGAACGTGGAGCGAAACGTCGGGCACCGTCGTGCCGAACAACTCAGCCCGAAAACGCGACGGGGGGAGGCTCTCGGTTTATTTTAGTTTCTTTTTTATGGCACTCAAACTTGGGTTTGTCCCTTGTGTGCAGCTACAAAAGCTGGGCTTATTGACCGTTGGAGATCGCTAAAATTATCAACAAAGAGATTACTGCACACACCTGGCGTTTCTGTTGGTCCTAGGGCAGCCTAAGAGTGTCCGATTATAAATTGTTTACCAAAGTACGAAAAGCAGCGAACGTATTTATCCAGCACAAACCGGGCACGCTGCCCAGCCTGGCCTCGGCGCACTTAGCGCTTTTGTTTGGTTACGTCCCGTGGCACTGTCGTGTTGCGAATCTGTAATTCGGTTGCTCGTGTGGCCGAATCTTCTCTCCATAAGCGATTGAGAGGTTGGGTTTGACTACCATTGTCTTGGGAACTTACCGACTACTTCAGAGCCACAGTGGCAAGATGTTAACTCCCTCGCCTGGTATGCAGGAGGTCGTGGTTTCGAGCCCAACGCCCGTATATTTGGAGTGAGTTTGCGTTCCCCAGGAAACCCTCGGCGAGTCTCAAGACTAATTTTTAGAAGGGTGCTGCTGCATTTTAGGATGTTTGTTCAGTTCGGTTGAGGAGCGTACTTGCACGTGGGAGGAAACCGGAGTGCCCAGAGGGAACCCACGGGACACGAGGGGACAGCGCGCGGGTCCGCAACAAGACGTTGGGGTGCAGTAGCTCTGATTAATGGGCACCCATTGAGACCAGCAGTCTCCTTTTCAAGGGGGACCCGGGGAAATATAATTATGGCGCACGAGCGTACGATCTCTTTGAGCGCATGCGCGTTTGCGTTGTCCAAGTAAAATTAATTGGGGGGCCTCAAGTAATACGGTGATTCACATTTGAACAAAAAAACAAATGCCCTACATGAAGAACTCTAAGTTTCTTGTGTCACATTCATGGTTGTGGTGGGTGGGGCAGGGCGGCTTCGTGGCAGGAGACTCCGCTGGTGACATACAAGAGAGCCGTGTGTGCACAGCGGTGATCGCGCTGCGCTACGAACCCGGCGACCCGAGTTCGATTCCAATTATCTGAACCAGTCCTAGTCCTCCCGTAGGTCGACTTGGCCTCAAATTAAACCTGGTGCGATACGTAACACATTGCCACTAGGGTGGCGAAGGCTGCCGGGCGTGGCGATGTCACACCACCACCCCATCGTGTGCCATGCCGGCCTTCAGAGTTGCTCGCTAACAGCACCTTCCAACACAGTCTGTCATGCTGCTCGCTGGATATTTGGTGTGTGCCAGTGCAACTGTAAGAATGCAAATTGAAATATGATAACAGAAAACTGGTTCACATGTGATTCGTAAAAATACCACAGTTACACGCATCATATCAATAAACTTACGGAATAAATTCAAATGTGCAATATATTAGACACTGATATCAACATCTTGTTATAGTTTATAACGGCAAACTCTTAGTATGCCATAAGCTGAAACTCGAAAAAAGGTGTATAACAGCTACGGATTCTAAACTGCAAACAACTTAAGCCACGCAGTTGTACGTTTTGAAGGTAATCAACACGTCGCATTCCAGCAAGCACAGAGTAAACTAAACTTAGTCACACAAAACACAGGCTTTTTTTTTGGGTTAGATCGCGTAAATATAAATGTGTTGTTAAACCCGCCACCACCCGACACAGACAATTACGTGGCAAGGTTTGTCACGTAAACAGAACGTGCCAATTCGTTGCTAGTACAGCACACCGGTGTGTTGGAGAGAAAATGCACAACATTTACAATCTGAGTACGATGTTTCGCCAGTCAATACAACTAACTAAATAGACGATATTGATCACGAAAGCCTACGTGTTCAACTAAACTTAGTAAAAACACAGTGAAAAACAGGATTCAACAGCCCGCTTGCTGTACCTCCATTTCTTGGCCATCTCCAGCCCGGCGGGTTTTGGAGTTTCAGGATCGTCGACTAGGATTCGCCAAATCTCTTCTGTCTGCACATGATAATAAATTCGTCCAATCACCTTCTTGGTTTTTAAATATTATCAATCCTGCATTTCTGCTTAAGTATGCTTTTACCCATAATGCTACACAAACGTCAGGATGGCGCAGTAGTTACACCCATGACTCACGGCAAGCGTGGCCTGGGTTTGGGTCCCGACTCGGGCGGCACCCTTTCTGTGCTCAACTTGTTCCTTGACGGGTTTCCTCCGGTTTCTCCGGTTTCCTCTGAAAGCTAAAAACAAAAACATAGAATGTGACTGATATTGACCCAAACAAACATCCCATTGCTTGCAAATTACTTAATTGGGATTGTGCACAGCAACAGCGCCCCCTGCTGCGAGAGCCTGGCGGTGGCCTTCTGAGGAAACTTGACCAACACAGCTGCCGTTCTGGCAAACATAGGACAATAGACTGTGTGCTGCCGAGTTAAAGGAGACCTTTACGGAGAGAGATGTGGTCATTAAAATTGTATTTTGATATGCCACGCAGCATTGCTTTTGTTATACTATCTACATGTTTAGTTACTCAGAGGATGCACCCTCATAAGTACATGGATTCTTTGTCAACAGGACCCATTGTGAGCTCTTCCGACCGATCTTAAAAAGAAAATACGGCACATACACGTACGCACGCGTGTGTTTGCGGTTTAATTTGTCTCCGATTTCCACCTTTTAAAGGAGTCACTGTTAACACCTCGTTAATATTGCCAAGAAACTTGCCATTTGCATCTCTGGGTGTGCACGAAAGGCCAACTCTCGCGCCAACTCTCACACCGTGCCCATTCCCGGGATGGCGTCGTGGCACGGAGGGCGAACGTCTTGTGCGTCCGTGGGCTGCTCCGTCCGCGTCTTCACGTGGCCGCTTAGCACGCGGTCGCTGGGGGTCGCAGGGTCGTGGAACAGTTTCCCCTCTCCGCTCGTAGCTGGCGCTTGGGTTGACAAGGCGCCGCCTCTGCGCGTTCCGCTCCGTGCCGCAACCGGGAGAGTGTGGCGTTAGAACTCCTCTTCCGGGTCTGTGCATCGACACTTGGGGTGGGTGAGCGCGCTTTCCCTTGGTAAATTCATACTTGGAAAACGGAAACTCAACCCATTTGTCAATAAACTGTGTGGCCCTGAAGAAAAACAAGTATATAATGGACAAGATTTCGGGGAATATCCCTACTATATAGCACAGCGAGGCTGCCAGAAACGTTCTCTATAGATAACCGTATATAATTATAATTATACGGCTACCCCTTGAGGGCAGTGTTATTGATGAATGTAGGGTTTTTTGTGTGCTCTCACTGTCAATGCAGTTTAAAAAAACAATTTGTGGCACCGAAGATATTTGCAATGACTGTGACTTCAGTTTGTAACAATGTAGGGAAGAGATTCGATGGATTGCCGGGATTCAGATTTGCGAATTGACTATTAATTATTTATTGAAGCCGTTTCCCCCACGGCGCCTGCCGCTGCAGAGAAAAATTTCCGCTGAAACGGAACAATCTCCACCTTGAAGAGGTATAGCCGAGTCACGTGATCGTCCAGCGAGTTCGCTCCACTCCTCTGCAGCAGCCGCGTAGCGGCAACAAAGCGTTGCTCCGTAGCTTTGTTGATTTTTCCGACGTTTTCCTTGTCGGTAGGGAGAGATGTTATTCAAAATAGATTTTTTTCTTCTGCATTTCGTGGTGAGTTTAGCGGCCTCTAGTGGCTGCAGCAGTCACGCGAACCAGTTGCACACTACGTACACGTGTCAAAAGAATCTCGGGTCTCATGCGATCCACCTTTAAACCCCTACCCATGATTACAGCACGGTTTACTGTGACCGGAATGCACACGACAAGTAATACGAAATACAGCGTAGTGGAGCCTCGGTGTATGCAAGTGGAATGCGTTTTGGTCTCGTGATGTGTGTTCTTGGACTGTGGCTGCCATAAGCACTTTGCCTGCAATCCAGAACGTTGGAGGCAAGGGTTGATGGATCACCCCCATTCATTCAACGCCAAAACCCGCAGCGCTGTCAGGTCACTGGAAGCTTTCCTGTGCAAATAATTGGCAGTGCATTAAATAGGCTCGTAAAATCCATCTGTGCGGAATTTTGAGTGTTATGCATTGAGATTTTTACGGGCACTCGGTTTTCTTCACACCATCAAAATACGGCTAACGTGGGCCAAATGTCCCAATGCAGGACCCTCCTGAAAGAGTCTTGAGACTCGGTTAGCCTTTACAAATGAATGGAATTGTTGTTATTATTCACCTTTGCTTCCACGTGAGCCTTTGCAACCGATATAATGAAAATCCATTGTAGGATCGCGTCGCGCGAGTGAAATGTGTTGGGTGGAGCCGGGTGTACGACACTTTTCACTCATCCGCTCCGACCCAAACATAAATTACGAATCCACGTTTTTACTTTTTACCCACGTTCATATAACAATTAACCTGCCTCACCTCTCGAAGGGAAAATCTGACGGCACCCATTCATGCGTCTACCCCCCACCCTGCTCGTGCGTGTTGTCACGGCTCCGCGTGCAGGGCAAGATGCAGTACCTGGACATCATCGGCAAGTACACGGAGATCCACGGAACCGTGCACGGGGCCACGGTCAACGTGCCGCCCTACGTCAAGAACCACGGCATCCTGAGCGGTCGCGAGCTTCAGTTCCTGCTGCGTGAGACCAAGGTACCCTTTCTCCCTTTTTTTTGCCACCTGGCGAAGCCAAAACGAGAACTCTGAGCGGGAAGCGAGTGGGAGGATTGCCGTCCCCCGCGAGCACAGAGGGGCGACTGGGAAAGGGCGCAAGTCTCTTTTTACTTTTTGTTTAACCCCCTTTGGATTCGGCACGTCTTGGAATTGGAGGCGGGGGGGGGGGGCATCTAAATTCGACCACATATCCCTCGGCGAGATGCTGTACGAAATAGTGCTACGCGTGTATCGCTCGGCGGTGGAAAGGGTGCGTAGAACATACGCGGTGTGTGTTAATAGAGAAGAGACGGCCCTAGAAAGAAGGGGAAGATGACGGTTTTGAGTCTCGACTTGAATATGGGCAGGGGAGTTAACAACGTGCCTCCGATTAGCACGGTTGGCTATGTACACTGCGAAAGTAGTTCAACGTACATACAGAGGGGTAGGCACAACCTCCCACTGAGCAATGGTTGACTGGGTAGCTCCAACAAAAAAGCCCTTCGTTACTTTTGTGTCGAGAGTATTTATCGGAGTAGAGTGAGCTGAGAAGGGGAGAGATCGGAGGGTGCCTGGATGGTGAGATGAGCAATGAGATGCGATTCCATAAAGGATTCTTGGAAACGGTGAGTGCGAGACTGCCGGGAGTCTGGCAGCGGCATCTGTTCCCTGGTATCACACTCCCAGCAGCCTGCAGCAGCTTCTGTTTCCACACCGTTACTCGCTGACCCTGTACCTCCTGCTGGACATCTATGAAAGAAAGTTTCATAGCTCATCGGATTTCCCCAGTCTAAATACAGATTTTGATTGGGCGCCAGTTTCGTTGGCGGGTGGTGGGCGTTGTGCGACCTCGTGAAAGCTGCAGCGCCACCCCGTGTGTGTCGCTGGGACATTGGCGGTTTTGATTCAAAGGTCAATTGCTTTGAAGTGGTCAAAAGTCGTGACTTTACCCGCACCCCTCCCCCGGGCGGAGCGGTTGAAGAGAAGCCTGCGCAAGGGGTCCACATCCCAGCCTGTGGTTGTGCTCGAGGCTGCGCTCAGCACCGCCTTGCCGGGGCTCGCAGCGTCGTGTTCCATTTTAAGCGATGTTACTTTATAATTAATGTCGAATCGTCTTACATCCTCCATGGTTTCATATTCATTCTTAAATTTTGCTCAAACAATTGTCGGATTGTTTTTTCCGGTGCTGTTCGGTGTGCACCCGAGAATGTGTTGGTGTTTTTCTGTCCAAATTATTTATTTACTTATCTGCACATCATGTTCCCCGGTCACTGTGGGCGCTTGAAAAGATAAAGGAGCAGCCCTGCAATTGCTTGTTCATGCCACAGCTGGTGGAAGGGCCTCCACAATAGGTAGCTGCAGAGAACCCCTCATGGGTTGTTTTGGTCTCCTCTTCCATGTACAGTGGCTTCTTAACTGGTTATAAATAGATGTTAAGCTTCGTATGTATGTTGAACTTCTTTATACCGTACGTAGCCAACTGCTAATCGGAGGTGCAAATAAACGTCGTATATTTCTGTAATCTATGAGAATCCCTTGAGGGAGCAGTCGTCCAGGGAACGTGCGACGTCGGCCCGACGTTGCACGTTCTACTGGGCAGTGGCGTGTGGTCGGGCTGGCGGAGGGCGATCTTCTTAATCTTGAACACGTTTAAACGTTTCCTGATATCGTGCGGTAGTGATCGTGCGGCTGGCATTGGGGAAGCCGCTGCATCTGTCGCACAGCCACGAGGGGTGGCCGTGGATTCTTTTGTCACGAGTGGTGAAATGTAAACCAACTGGGGGCGAATCACGAGCTCAATTTTGGCAGCCACATCGATGCGCCCGGAGGGGCCGAGGGAACGGGAATTAAATCTGCGAGTTAGAAAAGCATCAACTTCCTTCGCGGTACGGTCTCCATATGGCAAATTAGAAAGGTTACTCTCCAGGTGTATATAATTAAAGTGGGTGGTCGCTTTCTAGGGTCTACTTGGAATCGTCCAACAAATATCATCAGAAGTCCGAGATATGATGCCATAGGGCATCATCAGGAGTGAAGACGCCTCCGGTTGTGAGTGGCGGAAGCTTGAGCGCTGACAAGCTCAACGAGCGGCTCGACCCAGACGCACCACGCTGGGCTTCGGAGTCGCTGCGGGCACCCACGTGCCGAATCTCTTGGCGTCACGGAAACGGGGACGAGCGTGAAATGTGTTACCGTGCAGCAGCGGTTGCACTCTGCAATGAGTTGCATGCAAGTGTTTTGTTTTCAATGATCAACCCAAATCACCCCGACCTATTAAAAATTCTTCACGGCGCGTGCGATCGATACGAGTGCATAATTGTGAAAGATCAATTTTGGACAACACCTGCTCCTTGGTAAAATCACAGGAGCTCTGCCTTAACATTAGCCACACAATCACCAACTGACAAAAAAATTCCTAACAACGCTCACGAGGCAATGACGCGCCGTCACGTGTTCGTAATAACCGTGAGATTTCCGTTTAACAAACACGAGGAGATTCGTTCCTTGGCAAAAACAGCGCGAGGTTGTGCGTTTGGTTTTGGTAAAATAAATTAAAGCTGAGCATTTCTCTCATTGCGGTTCCCCCACTCCACAGCTGTTTGTGGGGCTGGGCTTCCCGTACGAGGGCCCCGCGCCGCTGGAGGCCATCGCCAACGGCTGCGTCTTCCTCAACCCTCGCTTCCGTCCCCCCAAGAGCAGCAAAAACACCGACTTCTTCAAGGGGAAGCCCACCCTGAGAGAGGTACACGAGCGAGCGCCACCCCGTCGCGACGCGCCCCCTCGCTGCCCACGGCGCGATCGTGGAATCGTTCGCGCCGCGTGGTCTCGAGCCCGTGGGGACGGCGTGTCCCTACGAAGACTCTAATCGCAGGCTCATCGCCCTGGCCTGACGGTCGCCACATGTCCCGGTTTTCCCACCATCGCCCTCTTGCAGCAGCAGCCGCTGTCCTGGGCAATCTGTAAATCTTCCTGTTTTTGATTCAGTTGTGTAATTATTGCGTAATGATTTGTCCTTCCCGCTTCTTTCGCACTGTACGTAGCCTACCCGTGCTAATCGGAGGTGCGGGGGGGAAGGACAACAAGGGCAACTACATACATATATATACATAATAGCAATAATCCACCACTCAAGACTGGTTCCCCCTTTCGGGATTGTGAGATATTCTTCTTCCCGGAGGTGACAACGTTGGCCCACGCCACGATGCCGGTTAAACTTGATTACCCTCGCCCTCCCCCTCCCCCCCGCCCACCTCTGTGAGACGATACGGAGGCAGCGTAACCGCTCGGGCAAAGCGGGGACGCTGCCCCGACCTGGCCTCGACGCACTTGGCGCTTTTGTTTGGTTCCGTCACGTGGCGCTCTCGTGTTGCGAACCTGTAATTCAGTCGCTCGTGTAACCGAGTCGACTCGCTGAGTTTTAGTCGCTTTCACTTTTCCCGAAGTAATTAGGGGTGAGGTTTTAATTATGCAACATTTGAAAATTACTGACCGCTTAGTTCACATAAGGGTAGCTTACTAATAAGGCCAGTTATTTTTTGAGATTGTAATTATGCCAATTATTTGCCCAGGAAAGCTTCACTGAGTCTGCAGACTTTTTTGAGGGTTCTGGATGTTTGGTCGGTACCACTTATAATTGCTTTGCTTGTGAGAGGTAAATGGAGGGTAGAGAGAAAACCCACGCATACGAGGGGAGAACACAAAAACTCTGCACAAACGGATGCAGATTGTCCACTGAGTAGACCAGATGTAAGGGTGTACTGCACCGATCACTGTTCTGCCGTCTCCCGACACGTGGCAGTCAGGTGCCTGCAACGCATCTCCCGTCCAGGCACTTGCTGCCTCAAGCCTGCTTAGCTTCCCAGATCTAACGAGGTGCGGAGACCAATATTTGTGGCGTTCTTCGTGGACTCTCATGAACTCTGCGGGCCGAGCTACAGACACCGTACCAACAAAAAGCGTTTTCTCTTGCTGTCGACCAGACGCAGGATAATGGCCATTTTAATGGAATTGATGTTGTTGAATGTGGGGAGTCTTAAAGAGACAAGTATCCCAAAATGATAAAACATTAAATGTTTAAAAGTGGAGGAAAACACAAACTCGCGCTGATTGAAATGAGTGAAGCGCAAGAATAACGGAGCGTTACGCACTGAGCACGGATGCCACGCGCACATCATCGCGATGCGTTATACGACTTACCTGTGGCTCACCCGCGGCCCTCGTGCCGTGCCGTCTCGCTGTGCTGTGCGTTCCCCCTCCAACGTCTCTCCCCCCTCTCCCCGTTTGCCGCTTGCCCGCCAGTTGACGTCGCAGCACCCGTACGCCGAGGTGTACATCGGCAAGCCTCACGTGTGGACGATCGACATCGACGACCCGCAGGAGGTGGAGGCGGCAGTGCGGCAGATCGTGGCACAGAAGGTGAACAACGCACGCTGGGAACGACTCTAACCAACACCGACAACACCACAACCACCAACAAACCATGACGACCACCAACAAATACCAACCACCTGAAAAAAACACCAACCAGTACCGCCGCCGCTACCAGCACAAACCATGAACACAGCAAAGTGCCACCACCGTTGTCAGCACCAGTGTAGGTCAACACTCGCCAATAACAACACCAAATATCACCAATCAATAGCACCACCAATCTAAACGCCAACCAGCACCACCAGCTGAGGATGCCCTGGGACTAATTGGTGTTGCCCTGGCTGCCCCGGCTACACCTGTGGCTTGTTGTTGTCGCTACTGTTCTTGTTTTGTTGTTGTTGTTGTGGGCTTGGGCGTTGGTTGCCTTACCCCGATCTGCGCCGTCGCAGTGTTCATTTTTGTCAAGCGCCTTGAGATGGAATTCCATGCAGACGTGATAATAGCGTGTTGAAATCTTTGTTACTGTTCATGTTGTTGTTCCAGCAGTCTGCACGGCTAAACGGTAGTCGCGCCTTGTCTTCGCCTTTCCCACGAGCGTGCATGTGCGTGTCTTTGTGCTCGCCCACAGCACTTGCCCTAAACAGTCTGTTAAGGCTATACGGGGGGATCTTTGTTTTTGTGCATTTGCCCTTGGGTGGTGTCTGTGTGTATGTGTGTGTGTCTGTGTGTGTGTTGGGGGAGCTGGTGATGGTGGTGGTGTGTGTCTGTGTGTGTGTTGGGGGAGCTGGTGATGATCGTGGTGTGTATGTGTGTATGTGTCTGTGTGTGTTGGGGAAGCTGGTGGTGGTGTGTGTATGTGTGTGTGTATGTATGTTGGGGGAGCTGGTGATGATGGTGGTGTGTGTGTGTATGTGTGTTGGGGGAGCTGGTGATGGTGGTGGTGTGTGTCTGTGTGTGTGTTGGGGGAGCTGGTGATGATGGTGGTGTGTGTATGTGTATGTATGTGTGTGTGGGGAGCGGTAGTGTAGCGGTTAGCGCGCTGCGCTATGAACCTGGCGACCCGGGTTCGATTCCCGCTCACGGCTAACACCAGTGACGACTATCTGAACCGGTCCTGGGCCTCCCCTAGGTCGACTCAGCCTTAAATGAGTACCTGGTGTGGTGTGTAAACATCGCCACTAGGGAGACAAAGGCGGTCGGGCGTGGTGCTGGCCACCCACCCCCTCGTGTACCGTTCCGGCCTTCATAGGTGCTCGCTAACAGCACTTGCCCCTACAGTCTGTTCAGGCTATACGGGGGATCTTTGTTTTATCTTTGTGTGTCTCCGCCACGCACTCGGCGGTCCTGCTTGGATTCCCGGGCACGGCTCGTGTCAGCGTCGCTTTGTTTTGTGCCCCCCCCCCTAAGACGGAGCCGTACATGCCGTACGAGTTCACGTGCGAGGGCATGCTGCAGCGGGTGAATGCGTTCATCGAGAAGCAGGTGAGAGACGCCCCCCCCCCCGCCGCGTAGCGCGCCGAAGGAGCGCCGCGTGGGCCGCAGGGATCGGTCCCTCCGTGCCCTCTCCTCACATCGCCAAGACCCCCCCTCCCCCCCCCTCCTCCCCCCTCCTCCCCCCTCCCCTCCTCCCCCCCCACTCCCCCCACCACGGCTCAGGGGATAGAAAATAAATCCATACTTCACAGCAGGCAACGTTAGAGCATTTCCAGAATCGTTATGAATTGATTTTTTTTGCTCTTTTGGAAGCTTGTTATCTGCCAACTGTGGCAGCCGGCGCTTCTCGCTACTTATTTGTAATTAGTAGCTTTGTAACATCGCATCGATCCGCGGATTAAAATCTTTTCTGACGCTTGCGATGCGTGCTCTGAAACTCGGTACGTAAGAATGCATCGGTGGCCTTTTTGTGAAAAATAATACGCCTGTGATTTGCTGACGTTGCATTTAGGTGTGCCCAGCGAAGGCAACTGTACAAATGAGAACACGTTTAGACATAATGGAAATGAAACTATAAAAAAAATGTGTTGGGGGAGAAAAGCATTGAATGTTGATTCAAGTCTTATTCCCTGAGTTGTGACGATTCATTGGATCACTTAGGAGGATGAATCGTGACATGTCTGATAATTAGCACCCCATCATCTCTCCAGGATCGATAAAATTGGTAACGAATTGTGGGAAATCTGCAATGGTTGTACTGTGCAGGCATTGGTCCCTGCCATAAGACATGCTCTGTGTCTGCTATTTGAGACCACCATTCAATGCACATTTGAGTGGCTTTTTGTAGTAAGGGTTGAAGTTCTTTATCATTATGATTCTTTTTTTACTCATGAGTCTAGAATATCCCAAAGTTGAATGTATGTTCAACTTATTCAGCACCGTAAATTGCCAAACCGTGTGATTGGTTTATATTCCTATCCGCTTCACTTGTGTTCCATAAAAAAAATTGCAATACGACTTTAAGCTTTTGTATCATGGTGAATTTGTGTTTAGAATTGAAATGTTCAGTAAATGCCACAATTTTGGTATCATGCTAATGTAAATGTTGGCAATAGCCGAGGTGATGGTTGGTGGTGGAGGTGGTGGAGTGAATCATCACGTTCTTCCTCAAATAGCCGAGGTGATGGTTGGTGGTGGAGCGAATCATCACATTCTTCCCCAAATAGCCGAGGTGATGGTTGGTGGTGGAGGTGGTGGAGCGAATCATCACGTTCTTCCCCAGACCCTCGGCGTTATTAACCACGCACGCATGTCACGCTGCGCGCACCACGCCGCTTCCCCTGCTGCAGGACTTCTGCCATCAGAAGCGGCTGTGGCCACCTCTGAGCGCCCTGCAGGTGAAGGTGGCCCAGCCAGGCCAGTCGTGCAAGCACCTGTGCCAGGAGAGCCAGCTGATCTGCGAGCCGACGTACTTTGCTCACCTCAACAAGGAGCAGGACCTTAGACGGTAAGGCTTTGTCCATCACCAATAACAAAGCTTCAGACTCGTGGGGAGTTGTTTGTTTTTGGGTTTCGTCTTCCGTCGTTATTGAGCTCGTTTACCCGGGAGAGCCTCGCTGACTCTCAAAGGACACCCTTTTCAGGAGGGTCCTGCCAAGTCTTATCAGTGGGGGACGGTGTTGTTGCATGTGATCGCAATCGAGTAATTTGCGTCTCAGTATTTCACAATTGGGACGTTTGGCCAATACAAGTCACATTTTACCCATATATTTTTGTTAGCTATGTGAGGAAACTTGAAAACCCGGAGGGAAACCCCTGCAGAACAAGGGGAGAACACACAAACGCCGCACAGAAAGGCACCGGAATCGGGAGTCAAACCCCCCAGGCGCTTGTGGCTGCCAGTGGGACCGAGTGTCGCCCTCGCAGCCGCCCGATGAAACATTTCCCGATTTGACTCTTGTGCCCCCATTGGCAGCGCGCGCGGTGGCCTCTACTATCGTAAGTAGTTTCCGGCCGCCTTTAAAAAAAAAAGCCCGTTTTACGTCAAACAGCAACTCGCTTTGGTAATTGCGTTTTGAAATCTGCAGGCTGTCGTGGGATTCGAGGATTTCTGGCCGACATAAATGGGGCTCGGTGGCCGCTCGGCTATCTCTCTGCCGCGTTGACGCGTGCGAGACGGATCCGCTTGATATACCACGCAGCCCGTCACCCGGACGTCCGCTCGTTTCGTAGGAATTGGCAGAGCACGGGGGGAGCACACGGACAGACTGGCACTTCTATTGACCCGCGTGAGCAGGGACACCGTTCTTAATAATTACCGCATGGGTCTTTTATAGAGTGCACCACGAAGTCATTAAAATCCCAAGAGTGGGACAGGAGCCAAGATTAAACATCTCATCTGGATGGGAGCCTCTGAGGCAGCGCTTCGTTCTCTAGCACTTAGACTTCGAGCTCCGGAGCCTGAACATGTGATGCCGAGAAAACTCTTTGGCTTTATACGGCAAAAGATGACCGTCTTCAAGGTCCTCCGTGAACCCACTCGCTTGCTTCCGCACCTCCGATTAGCACGGTTGACTTCGTACTGTGCGAAAGAAGTTCAACGTACATTTCAACGTCTACCTCTCCTGCCGCAGCTTAACTCGGCTCCCTCTCTTGTCCTCTTCGCTCCAGCAACCACGACCTTTTGTCAGCCCCAGTAATCTGCCGAGAGTGAGGCCTTCCTGAGTAAACTAGTAGACTAATCATCAACGCTTCTCTCAGTGAGTGGGAGGTCGCTCCTCTGTTGTGCCCACGGACTGGAACCCCCTCCCCCTGCCGTCCGTGCTGTCCCTGGTCAAGTCCAGGCTCAAGACCTTTCCCCTAATCCTCTCTCTGTCCGACTGCCTCGTCTATTTAATTTTTTAAAAAGTTAATTGTGTCCATTATTAATGTTCCGCCTTGTTTCCCCATGATTAATGTATCCCACTGTTTTGCACAGCATCTGGAGAAGCGGTCTCGTGTACACGCCTTGTGTGTGCACGCCTTGTGTGTGCACGCCTTGTGTGTGCACGCCTTGTGTGTAAATTAAACGTTGACCCCCAATCGGCCTCGCGTCGCACAACCAACACCACCTTCTGGTGGAACCCGATCCCTTGGCCTTTAAACGACAGAAACATCAAATTGGTGCGATAATCTCCCAGCATCATTTATTTCCGTGCGAATAGCTCTGCGTATTAGGCTACAGAAATATGATTTTGTTGAATGTCGGTCATTATTTTCTCTTGAGGCTGTTCCATATGAAAATGAATCCTTTCATTTTGTCCGGGCAGCTCGGGTGACGGGGCAACGTTCACGCGCGCTTTCTATATGTATTACTTGGTCTGCGTAGTACTACAAGTTGTTTTGGACCTTCCTTCGTCTTCTGCCTATCCATGAATTCACTCCTGTTCTCCTGCAGACTCCTCTCCCTAACTTCCTTCTTTGCCTTGAATAGAGAACCTCTCCTCTTGTGCGTTTTCTATCACGTACATGCAGCGTCTCATTTAGGCGCTTTATAAATTCAAATTGCCTCGTGTGTAGTAGTCCTAGAGATTAAGAGTGCGCACGTCAAGGTGCGTGTTTGGAATGACAATGAGAGACCGAGAGGAACACCTGGGTTCGAGAAGGCGCACACGTTAGAGACATCGTATTGACAGTTCAGAACGTGGGTCTTGGGCAGGAGCACGCTGTTAGACAGGACGATGGCCGGCAGTCGAGACCAACGGCTGAGTGAGATGGCAGTGGCTAGGTAGGGGAGGCCTTCATCCAGTCGTGGATAGCTCATGGCTGAGGCTAGTGATCAGTTTTTTCAGTTTTTTTCAGGTTCATTTATTAGGTATAGCCCTGCGAGCCATGCGGCTCTTGACTCGGGTGCAACCGCAACAAACAAAGACATGAACAAAGAACATCTTAAAGTGACCACGCGCAACAGAAAAATCCAGGAAAAAACAGCAAATTTTGACTTTTAAAGCTTTCGTGACTGCAGGAATTCATATTCTTGGGTCTTTCGGTAAAGTCACGTAGATAGGTTCAATAATAAGTAGTTTTCTGTTATTTTTGATTATTTTATTTGAACCTATCTACGTGACTTTACCGAAAGACCCAAGAATATAAAAACAGCAAAGTAATGATAATAGCCTAACAACCAAATCACCCTCAATATGCCGTTTCTGGGAATTGACAATAGCTAATCCAAGTAATAACCAGGAGATTCGATGAGATCAGTCATATTCTGGGTGCTTTGGTTTGGTGGTGAGGTCACCATCATCATCACCATCAGCCATGATCAATCCACTGCTGGATGAATGCCTCCCCGAAGCCACTGCCGTATCTCGTGTCTCACGCCCTTGGGTTGCAACACAACTGCGCATGGAAGTCGTCCTCTCATCCGAGTTCCCAACTGTGGCTGCCACTCGCGTCGTGAGCCTCGTCGGCAAATCTTCACCGCGTCGAGAAAGTGCTTGCCGAGCATTGACGGGGGCGCGCGTTGGGGGCGTGCCGTTGCAGGCACGGCGTCGAGTGCGACTCGGCGGAGGTGCAGAACGAGGTGTTTGTGCCGGCGCTCGAGTCCGGCCGAAAGAAGTGCCTCCTGCAGGGCGATTACCTCCTCTTCAGCTGCGCCGGCAGCCACGACACGCACCGGCGAATCTGCCCGTGCCGCGACTACATGAAGGGCCAGGTGGCGCTGTGCCGGGACTGCTTGTGAAGGGCTCGCGACCCGCCGCCGCCCCCGACCCCCTCGCGTGGATGCCGGACGGCAGGACGAGTCGCATCCTGAGGGAGGTTGAGCCAGGATTTCTCCATCTTTTTCCACGTCAATTTGATTTTTTTGTGACCGAGCCGTTTGTGCTTAAGCCTTAACTCAACTACCCAAATGGATTGAAATTAATGTTTTGTTTTGTTTCGAGAAAGAAAAAAAATCGCCCCAAAACAAGGAAAAAGGTGGCCGTCTGCCTTTTTTGTTTTCTTTTCATTGAGCATCGATTGTGGAGCATCACAAATGACGATCGCACGGAGGAAGAGCAAACGTGACCTCCGGACCGGGTCGCTGGTACAAGTTTGGTTCGGGGGAAGGTGATTTAACAGCCCAATTTTTGGGGAGCCTGATTAACAGCCGAATCTGGTGCAAGCCGGCGGAAGACTCTGCGTTCACAGTCGAAAGCGGAGGAGCTGCCTTTGGCCCGTCGCGCTGCGGGGGGCGAAACGTGGAGCGCCTCTCCGGCTGCACGCAAACAAGGGACTCGGCCCGTGCACATCCCTAGCGCATGCATCATCGCGTCCCGGCGTGCCGCGGTTAAACGGCGGTTCGTGTTTTCTACGTTGTGCTTGGCCATGTCCTCCTCCCTCCCCGTTGCTGCTGCCACCCCTCCCTGATCCACCGAACTTGCGTCTTCATACTCCCGTGTACATTTGAATATTCCTGGAAGGCAGCTGTTCCACAGCCTTACGATATTTAAATGATATCATGAAAACGGTGAACTGAGGAGACACTAACCTATCTCCTCGTCGGGGGATGTGTTCCGATCTTTACTTTTGTGTATGATTATCTTTACCATGTTAATGGATTATTGTTTTTTATGAAGAAACTGGACGGAGATTGGCATTTCTTTTTGTCCTTGTAAATGTGTAAACTCGAGATAGACAGGAAATCTATATATGAAATGTGTTGTTTGGTTTGTCCGGTACAATCACGCAGGCACTCGCACTTAACCGAGAAGTACGTTCGAGTATAAAACTGTGTCCGTGGTACAGAATTGTCTTTCGAGGTGGTTGGCGCAGATTTTGCGGCGTGCGTTTTAACGTCAAAGGTACGGAGTGCGTTTGGTAGCGCTGCTCTGTTACCCACGATGCATGAATGAAGGCAGACGCGCATCATGTGAGCGTGGCGTATTTATTACGGTGTAACGCGGTACATCTGCTGCCGCTGCTGCTGCTTTGCGAGATGAGCGTCACTCCGGACGGTTGGACCGGCGCGTCGTTATCCGCTGGGGCTCGCTGTGGCGGACGCTGCTGCTCCGTCTCTGCGCGTGGCCTGAACCTGCGGTGGCCGTTCCAATTCACATTGCAGGGCCTCCGCAGATGCTTCTCCGTCCCCATTGGGCAGACAGTTGCTGCTGTAAGTGACGGTACACGTTGTAACAGGAAATGTTAGTGAATGCGTTCTTCAAACTGAAGCAAGCGTTTTGTTGTATTTATGCAATTGAGATGGATTTTTTTTACGTTTCTCTGGAATTTGCGTGACGTGCGCTCTTGGCCGGTGTCCCCGTTTGGTTACGATCGGTGTCGCGTGTTTGGCCGACGGAGATTAACTCTCACACTCAAAAGCTACTGAATTCTGAGTTCATACACTGCTCGTTCTCTCTGCTTTGTGGCCGCGTTCGAACGGGGGTTGAGCCAGGCCCCGGCTTTCATTCGCGTGCGCGAGGGAGGGGGGGAGAAGGAAACAAACATCACGGGAGAATCTAAATTTGGAAACTGAATTTAATCATCCCACTTGCTGCCACCACCGCTTTGAATCAGCACCACCGCTCAGCAGCCTTGTATATGCGAGTCATATTTGTGCCTGTCACACGGCTAGCGAGCGAGTGTGTCGACGCGCACGTGAGGATTTTTCTTGCGTGTTGGGCCAGTATTGGCGTGTGTTCTTTCTAATGGCTTGATTATTGTTATTGTGTTTTCTTCTTCGCGATTGACCGGTAGTTTGGAGCTTAATTTGGCAGAGCACTGCAAAGCCCAAGGCAGGTTGTGTGCACCTCCTGAAATGAGTGAAGCCGCGTTGACAGGCTGTCGTACAGCAGCATTGTTGTGAAGCCCTTCGTGTAGTTGTGATGGTGGTGATACATAAATCAAGACATTGACTCCATGTCGGCGTTTAGCGATGCGTCATTTCGCAGATTCAAATCGATCCTGATGCCCACAATACACGCATTCAATCATGTGTGTGTACAAATCGGTTGTTTATACAAAATGCCTTTGTTATATTTTAGGCTAATGTAGTGGAGAGAAAAAAAACGAAACACCAGAAAATACAAATCATACGATAACAAAGAGATGAAAGAAAATTGCATGCTGGAACAAAAATATAGCTCGCATCGTGACAGTTCACGGAGTTGCTGGAAAGATGAATCGTAACATGCCGACTATGGAGTCCTATAATTACCTCTTTATAATTAACACATCTGCGTGATGTTATTCAGGCCGTGGCAGGAAGCCCCCGGGGCTTAAACAGCCACGCACAAATTCAGATTGTCACGTCAACCGCTCGATGTTCATGCATGCGGCATGGCAAGGTTCCGGATTTACGAGCAAATGGAATTAATTGGTTTTACGAGCAGAGGCGGAGAGTTCCATGTGGCTACAGGGGTCTGGATTTGACCGCCCTCCTTACGTGTAGCTGTGTAATGGGTAATACCCTCGCGAGTAATTTATTTGATGTGTGAATTTTTTTACCAACGGTTTTGCCGATGTGCACCGCCTATCTCGGTAGTTCTGGGGGCGTCAGCAGTAGCAGAAGTGTGTCTCTGGACAGCGTTGGCTGGGATTGACGGATGATTCGTGACTTAGGTTAAGACGACATCTCACCCAGAGCAGCGACCCCGGTAGGCCATTGGAGTTTTATAGAAATGGACAACGACACATGCAAGACACGGCTCGGCACGGTTCAGTTGAACCCTACACGCACAGACACTGCTCGGCACGGCTCAAACTGGCACCGCAATGGCGGGGGTGGGTTTGAATCCAGGTTTCGGCCGTCTGTGATTAAAACTATGTTCTCAAATGTAGCGAGTTGATGATCTCAGCCCAGTCACAAATGACTGCGCAAAAAAAACCCCATCCGATTTAAATTTGGTTCTGCATTTAGTCTGGCTAACTTCCCAGCCGTACACCGTCCGCAACCACGGAGATCTGAACGAATACTTTCTCATGACATGACGCTGGGACCAAAACAAATACTGGAATAAAATTCGAAACTTTTAGAAAAATGACGGAGAGTTCGTTGGCCTGCTATTTGAGTTTTTTTTACGAAGGGAAACTACGGTAGTAGGAGAGATGTATTTTATCATGCAATGCCATCTCGTCCGACATTTCAGAACGTTAAGAAGAAGTAAGCGTTTACGACGGACCGCTGTTCAGAATGCTTGCGTGCTCTGAATGTGAAATGTAACGTCCGTAAGCAAGTGTGCCCTTGTAGCCATTCTCCAAAACAATTATAGCGTTTTAAATGTTAACATTCTAAAGTTCCAACCTGGTTTAAATTTCACTGCGTAAAATGCCCAAGTGTGGAAAACCGACTCCGATGGTACATGGACATCATTGTTTATTTAACCCGTCATTTTGGCAAAAAATGCACAATCCGAAAAAAAGACGTGAAAAAAAGTTTTTTTCTCTGGTTTATGGAAAGTCTGTAAAAATCTAAACACGGAACGCGTCTCTGGTTTTTATATATACTGTTATCGTAATATCGTGTTTCAACTACATTGTGTGTGCTCTGTGCTATACTTACAAATGCGTGGCAGTCTTGTTGGGTTTCGTAGCCACACTTAACTCGTTTCAAACTTGAATTTGTTTTCAATTTTATTTTTACAATGATGATATATGCCATTATTGGTTGTCCAATTTGAGTAAAAAACCATGTATATTGGCGTGTATTGTATATTTATTAATTAGGCTAGGCTTTATTTTGTTCCAGGTTTAATGCACTAGATTCACCAAAGCGGCGAGGCACCTTTGGCTCTGGGCAATGAAAGCGACGTGCGTGCAGAGCCCTTCGACAGTCCTCGCCACCGCGGCTGAGAGCGACTTTGACGCGGGCCCCGCTGCGAGGAGTGAATTGGGTGGGGGGGTCTGTCAAACCCCCCCCCCGCCCCCTCTTTGTAGCCGATGCCTGGGGTCCCCTCTGGCCCTTAGGCCCTGCTGCATCGTTCGGTAGCTACGGCACTCGCTTAAACGTTAAACGAGCGGTGCATATAGACGAATGTCCCTATTCCTGTGATGTGGGGGGAGGGCTGTTTGGCCATTGCAGGACCGCTGTTTTGACGACTTCTAACGGAGTGGTAATTCTCTTAATTGGCCCTGGAGGGTGAGGGGGGGATGCTGAGCCGAGTCGATCTTCGCTGGGATTTCAACTCTCGCAGTCTTTCCATTCATTACGTGCTCTAACCACAGCGGCCCCTGTCTTGAATTGGTTGCATCCATACATACATGTGTGTGTGTATATGAACCTTATGGCGGGACCCCGGGGTCCCATAAGCCCCTGGCTCTCGCATAAACTGCGTTGCCACGTCATTTTATGTCTGTTGAAGGCGAACGATACGGCGATCTGTCCCTCTCGACGAGCTCTACACGATGCGCCAAAAAGAAATGTAGTAATTACGATTTTGACTTCCGTTTATTCGGGGCCCTGGGCTCACGCCATCAGGTTCATATACTGACTCAATCGAAGATAATTATTTACTGACTCGGTCAAAGATAATTATTCTCCGTGCTTTTGTTTCATTGCCCAGCCGCTGTATTGTGGGCAGCTGTCTCGGTCAGCAGTCGCCCACCGCGCTACCGTCTTGTGTTCTGCTGTGTTGACTAAACCCAAAGTCTCTCTCTCCTCGCCCCCACTCTCGCTCGCTCCAGCATTGCAATGCTTGGGGTTGACGCTCTCGACAAACTAACGTCAACATCACCGTGCCAGCGTCGTATTAATTAGTTTTCGTTTGCTATTTTTACAGACATACTGTGTGCCTCGTCTCGTCGTCACGTGAACATTGCCTTATCACACACACACCCACACACACACCCACACAACAAACACACAAAACACAAAGCCACCCACACACACACACACCCACACACACACACCCAGACCACACACCCACACACACCCACACACACACACACCACACACGCACACCCACGCCTGCCTGCCTGCCTGTGTAGCTCTGTGTGTGTGCGCGCGTGGCGCCCACGCCGGTCACACAAACCGCGTCTCGCCATCGTCGTGCGGCGGTGCCATCATCGCGGCAAAGACTCCCCGCGCGTTTTCGCGTCGCGATTTCGCCCGTCGACGATTTTAAACGGTTGTTGTTGTTTATTTATTTGCGTGGCTTTTCTGCGGCGGCTGCGGCGGCGTTGTGGTGCCATCGGTCTCGCTGATCGGATCCGTAGCGGGGATCGTCAAACGCATACCTCGGCCAACTTGCATCGCGAGCTGCAGTCAGAGTTTATCTGCACATTATTATTATTTGTAATGTACAGTGACAAGACATGAAGCAAAAAAGACGGAAGGGGTGAAATGATGACCCAGGCAACTCGTGTCGCGTCGTCGTAGACGATCAGTGTCGGTACGCGGGCCGTGGCCGGATCTGTAGAATAGGAGAATAAAATCCTCTAGAACAGGACTTCTCAAACTCCATTCCACCTTTTACACATTTACCAATCCATATACATCCATAACTAAAATTGCTACACATCGCTGCACACAATAATTGGTAAATACCGGAGTTTGAGAAGCTTCACTGTGTAAACTAAAGGACACAAGCCTTAACACTGAATACGATGTATATCATTTGCACATTCTTTTTTGTTTTTCATGAAGGCAATGATCAACTTTATAAGGTGACCCGAAAACAAACGTGAATTTATTTGCAGCATTAATCGCAGCTCGGTAGATAAGAGGAACCTCGAGATAAAATCGCCCCTGAAACGAAATTTCACCCGTGACTCTCACCCGCCAGTCGTCTTCATCATTGCACCTGACGGCGGGGAGCTCGTGGAGCTGGACACACGACCCGTGCGCGACGTGGCGACAGCCGCGTTCATCGACGAGTCGTCGTCGTGGCTTGGGATTCCCTTCGTTGTCGACTCGAACTTGGACGTTCCGCAGCCAGTTCGCGCCCAACGCCCCCATCAGCTGAGATGTCACCCGAGTCGCCCCTGCGGTCTCGCGCGCCACCTCTGAGACATCATCGCGCGCGTGCGTGGCCGCGTGCGCGTTGCGGGATGGGTGACGCGAGCTGGGTGACGCGGACGGTCGTAGCGGGGAGGGGGGGAGCTGCTGTCGGCCGCGTCCCATTTTCGGGTGATTTTTTTTTTGACAGTGGTGGATTGTTGTTTTTTGTTAAAAACAATAAAAGAGAATAATCGTGATTGGAAAAAAAAACACTTTGAATAGGGTTTGGCTTTCTGGTGACTTTAAAATACTGCACTCATTAAACTCCTTGGTGGGCGGATGTTAAGGGTGGAGGGCTACCAATACAAACATTCCAAAAAGCTATTGGATTGAACAACAATACTGTTTGGGTGGCAATATTGCCAGAATTACATACTTTTTCTGAGCCTCTTAATTCATAACGAGGTGTTGCCAAGTCAGGTTGTTTTTTTTGTTTACAGCTCAATCTGAACGCCACATTTATGTATATTATGTATTTATATTCTCGGGAAATCTGTTGGAGGAACTACAAAAATAAGCGCAAATGCTTTTATGAGTGAGCAGTGTTTACATCGATGTGACGCGCAGGCGCTGCCGAACACATTATTACCTACATGTGAAATGAAAACCCATTGAATGCGCTCTGATCGTCCTATGAAAGGGGCCTAATGGGCATCTTCAAAGGGAAGCTGCTGCTTCTGCTGCTGCTCGCAGTTCCCTGGGCCTCCCGCTCAATAGCCGCGTGGAAGCGGCGCCGTAAGAGGAATGAAAGAGAGGTGTGAATGAAAGAGAGGTGTGAATGAAAGAGAGGTGTGAATGAAAGAGAGGTGTGAATGAAAGAGAGGTGTGAACGAAAGGGAGGTGTGAACGAAAGAGGTGTGAACGAAAGAGAGGTGTGAACGGAAGAGAGGTGTGAATGAAAGAGGTTTGAATGAAAGAGAGGTGTGAATGAAAGAGAGGTGTGAACGAAAGAGAGGTGTGAACGAAAGAGAGGTGTGAATGAAAGAGAGGTGTGAATGAAAGAGAGGTGTGAATGAAAGAGAGGTGTGAATGAAAGAGGTGTGAACGAAAGAGAGGTTTGAATGAAAGAGAGGTTTGAATGAAAGAGAGGTGTGAATAAAAGAGGTGTGAATGACGTGTGAATGAAATCAAGCGGCCGAGCCATTGAATTGAGACCGCGACAAGCGTGTGTTGGGTGCGTCACGAAATTAACTGCTTTTTAAAAAACACACGGAAAGTGTTATGAGCAAAAGGTGTCGTAGCTTGTGAATTTGATTATGTCTGTGAACGTTTGTCTTTTCTGTAACTGCTCCACTTCGAAGACTTATTTAATTTCAAAACATTGTCGAAATATTTTGTTAAAAAAAATAGTTTTATTTGCTGGTAACTAATACAGTTGTAGCTGATGTCATGATGGGCTGTAGATTGTGTGTATATGCCATCACAGCGAGCAACAACATCATCAGGGTCATCATTATTATTGATCATCACAATCTGCTCATAACTGCCTGTCAAGGATTTTAAGCCAAGAAAGCTTTTACCTGCTCTCTGCTGTCACTGATTGCAGAGGGCGGTGTTTGCTGTCTGTTGTAGCAGAATAGAAAGACTGCGAATCTCCCGTCAGCTGCTTCCCGACTTCCCTCGAGGCGGCCCGTCACCCTGAGGCCCGACAGTGAAAAGTCTCGGCCATGGGGCAGCTCTGGCAATGTGCACGCCTGCCGCAGCATGGACGTGTGGAACATATCAGAATAGATGTTAAGATGGTCAAACACCAAAAAGATACCTTTCGCAAATAATCAAGTCTGCATTAACCACGCGTGCTTGTGGTGAACATGCAAACGCACATGCTCTTGACAATATAGTGTACAAACCTATTCTTATTTTTCATTATTTGGTATTGGAAAAAAAGGCCCCGTGATATTAATTAACGTGTTGCCGTTTCAGGTTATACCGAGTCAATGTTGCCTTCACTGTATTTTTGCGGGTTAAGATGTGGGTAGGGTGGTTGAGGGGGGGTAACGGGGAGAGGAGGCTTTTGATGTGTGCAAAGATGTTGGAACATAAGCCATTGGTTGTGGGGTTGTGTGGCCACCACGGAAGGGGACATACTTACAGGTGGTCGTGTTTGTGGCGGAACGCCGCGTAGAACGTGAATCGACGACGCACACAGACCGACAGCGATTTTATGTTTTTTTCCACAGAGAAGGAATATACTCCTTCAAAAAAATTGCACTTATATGGGACTATCGCTTTTAATGGAAAAAGGGATACTCCACTAACATTTGCATGCAAATTATATCTCTAGCTCCGCCCACTTACGCTTGGGTTGAGCCCACCTAAAGCCTCTATAACCTCGTGTTGCAGCAGCTCGTTCTCCTGCCTCAGCAGTTCTCCTGCTGTGTTTGTCTCACCTGATGACGATTGCTTGTGTTGCGATCAAAACGTCGTGATGTATTAATTTTCTAGCTACGTGACTTTACCGAAAAAACTAAAGAGTATGGATTCCTGCAGTCACGAAAGTTTCAAATCAAGAATAGTTTCCACTTGTTCGCCATCATCGTCAACGCACGCCTGGAATCTTCTCCAGGTGGTCTCCAGAGCCCGGAGGCGGCACATTTCTCGTGGTCTTGTTTCAAATTCTGCGAAGTGTTCACATTTTTTTTGAAGCACCCTGTATTTCCGTACCCTGTTCCCATGGGGTGACCTTGAGGGGTGGGGGTGTCTTTAACTCTCCACGCGTGGCCTCTTCAATGATTGTGAACACTTTTGTCGTTATTTGTTTCCATCATTAAAATCACGGCACCCCCCCCCCTCCACACAAAAACACATGTGTTCCCTGCAGTGTATGTTCTTGGAATATCTCTCCATCTTATAACTGAACGTCACATAAAGCGTTCATTATTCATCATCGCCATCAATGATTCACAAGGCCCACTTCCACAAACTCGGCTTCAAACACTTGCCGTCGCTCGTGTCCCCGGCAAACAGATGAGAAATAATTAAAGACGCCTCCGTGTAACGATCGTGAGACGCGAGCGTGGGAAGAGCAGGACAACACATACTGGAGCCGGGCTTCTTGAGGTCTCCTCCTCCTTACCGGCAGCCGCACGGGGCAAGCTATTGCAGGGGCTGCACCATTGCCACCTGCGAGCGATCGATAAGAGCGGCACGTTCGTCCAACGAGAGGCAAAGTCATCACCCCCCCCCCCCACCGTTTGCCGGACAGATTCATTAAAAGTGCACCGGCATCTGCTCGTGCGCGAGGCGGCCTGTCGCTTTGCGTTCCGCGTGTCCGTTGAAGCGCCACGGGAGGAGATGAATCTCGGCCGCTCCTCGGGCCGAGCGCGCCCAGCCAGCGGCGCGCGTGACCCACGGCGCGCGCGCGTGACCCACGGCGCGCGCGCGTGACCCACGGCGCGCGCGCGCGTTCCTCGGGCACGGCGCGGGCTGGGGGTTGCCGCGTGCTGCCGAGGGCGGTCGGCCAGGGCCCACGTCGCGGTCGGCTCGCCACGGCTCGACTCCTTCGCTCCAAGTGTGGCCTTGACAAAGCACGGGGCTCTTCTCCCATGTTCTCAGACAGGCCTCGCTCGGGTCTCGGTCATCGCTTTTTCAGGGCGGGGGGGGGGGTCTCCTGCATCGAGATGTTTGGCCAATTTCACGAATAATTGCGTGGAATGTTTGAAAAGAAAACCCCACACCCATAAAAGGGGAAAACACTCAAAGCTTCGCACAGATAGACTCAATAATTGTTTTCCTGTACTGCCATCTGTCACCTGGTACCTCGTCCTAAAACAACACTGTATCCAGTCGTATATCGGCGTGTGAATGTGAAGCTAATTGGGGGTGATAATGGAGCGAACCTTTTCCACTGTTAACACGTTGCCATTAGTCTCTTCGTGTCATTGAGATAACATCGGACTTACATTAACTACAAAAACTCATGAAATGCCTTGTATGTGGGTCTACAAATGAGTGAATGTGCGCATCTGATTGCGTGTGGTGTGGGTGCAGTCGTGTCGCGGGTAGCGCAGCGCGCGATGAACCCGTCGATCCAAGTTTGATTCCCGCTCACGGCCAACACCAGTGACGATTATTTTAATCGATCCTGGGCCTCCTCAAGGTCGACTCGGCCTCAACTGAGTACCTGGTGCGGTGTGTAAACATCGCCACTCAGGAGACAAAGGCAGCCGGGCGTGGTGTTGGCCACCCACCCCCTCGTGTGCCGTGTCAGCCCTCAGAGGTGCCCGCTAACAGCACTTGCCCCTACAGCCTGTCAAAAGCTGTACGGGGGTGGGGGGGTCTTTGTCTCTGGCGTGGATAGAACTCTGCGAGCTGAGCAGTGTGATGCGATACAAATGGCTTTATATCGTCATATACATGTTTTATTGTTGAAGTGGTTGTTACTCAGTTAATTAACGATTCATATGCCAATTGAAAACATGTATCTTTTCTAATTCCTATTAGGCCCCATGGTGTAAAGTGCAGTCTCCATCTCTTATCCACTCTCTGACCTCTCATTCATGTGCTATAAAGGGAGCCCACTTCCCAAAACGTTGCCGATTATAGATTTTTGTTTTGCTTTTAAGTGCCACACAGCGGTATCGACGGGCGCGGTGAGTGTTTTGTTATTTGTGTTCGGCTTCACTCTCACAATCCGAGTTCTACTTTCTCTAATCTGCCACCTTTCTCCCCTTACAACTTGCACACATCACCAGGCATCTCAGCATTCCGCTTAGGAAAAGAAGAGACATTGCTATTTTATTACAGTTGTATACAACAATACTACCCATGTGCAAACATACACAAAATAAAATCGTACTTTTTAGAATCCTCTGGACGTCTCGTAAGTCAGCTACAAATTATATTCTTCGGTTTTTAATTTACGCCAGTGCTTCCCCAACTTCCTGAACATACAGACCACTGCCAGCCCTGCAACGGTCCCGCAAACCACTTCCCACGGCTTTTCAGACCGCCAGTGGCCCACGGACCATCGGCTGAGGCCCCACTGGTCTGCTAGAAAAGAAAAGAAACTAGAAAACAAAAACAAAAGAAACTAGAAAACTAAAGGTAGAGAGATATTTTGAGAGAGAGGCGTGATTTGTTGCGACCACGGCGCTTCACGTGTGGTCGAACGTCGCTTTGAAAACGACGACCATCGTCAAACTTAAGAATCGAGGAAACATTTCAAGAAGAGGCATGTCCATCCTTCAGTACCATTGCTTTGTTCCTTAATCTTTAACCTCTGAGCTTAATATTTAAACTCCCTTAACCTTAACATGGAAGTGTTAAAAAGTGCACATCAGCCAGTAGTTCATAGATAACATGTGCTGTGAGAATCCACGCTTGAGCTGACACAGAGTCACCTTCGACTGGGTAACAAGAACCACTTGCTGCCCGAGAAGCCTCGAGCACCAATCGCTCGCGCAGTCTCAAGGAATACCTGGCACAGCTGGCATTCAACTCCAGGTGTAGAACGCCAATTTGCGTGTACGGGGAAAAGACAAGGCAGGAATTTGAAACTCGAGATGAATACCGCACGCGTTCTCCACAGAAGCACTTTGACCAGCGGCATACGTTGTGTTTGCTTGTGTCCCAATCGAGGGCGTGACCTCCATGGATCTCCTCGGTGGCTGCCGATACAAATTCACGAGCGTCGTCTGAGAGTGCGTGCCGAGCGCAGCCTCCACTGCGCCTCCTCCGCCATCAGCCGAGGTTCTCGTAGAGCCGTGCGCGCCGTACCCGAGGCACCATGTCCACCAGCAGCCTGTGGGCGACAGAGCCACGGCGCTCGCTCCGTGCTGCCGTGCGCCACTCCGATGCGCTTTGCGTGGTGGTGGTGGCGCCTGGTGCGACGTGTAAAAACATCGCTGTTCGGGAGACAAAGGCGTCCGGGCGTGGTGCTGGCAACCCACCCCCTCGTGTGTCGTTCCAACCTTAATAGGTGCTCGCTAACAACACTTGCCCAAATAGTCTGTTAAGGCTGTACTGGGGGAGCTTTGGCTTTCTTGTTACCGAGCATTGGGCTGAATTAGCCTTTTTTTAAATAGTTAAAATGTTAATGGGCTAGCAAGTTATAAGCCTCATGAATTTTGTGCTTTATATATCGTATGAGAGAGATCATTTTATTCATGTTTTGCAGTGAAAAATATCAGGCGGAAGCATTCCAATGGTCTTAAAACAAGGTTGCGTAATTAACTTTAAGCTCCTGATATTCTCCTGAATTTGTTTCTTAACAGAGGGCAGTTATTACCGGCTTGCTGCTCAGAGTGGCTGGGTGTATTTGTGAGCTAATCCATAGAAAACAATTTAACAAATGACTCGCAGAGTGTGGTGACCGACTTGTTACAAAAACAACATTTCTAGCGCTCTCTCTCGAAAACTACATCTAACTAAAATGTGCTGTGACGGAGGAAACGTGTATGATTATTGCGACATATCCAAAACAGATGGTGCACGTGGGCAGACGGAAACGAAGATGTCGTTGACAGTAAATGATTATGGCTGGTTTTGCTAAAATTATTGTGAAACTGCAGATACAACAAATGGTAAATGCTATGGAATCAGGCGGCTCCGAGGACAATAGACCACAATGCAATGTCCGTTGCGTCCTGGGTAACGATGCGTCCCAGGTAACGATGCTATAAACTATACAACGAAACTATGAGCTACGTTTTCTTTTACCAGGTAAGGCACTGAGTCATATAGTTCTCTTTCAGAAGCGACCCGTTATCGCAAATGCTCGTTCAAGATAGCAGCTTATCACGTGGATATTTATAGCAGCAAATACCCTGAACGCGTGTTTCTCAATGTGGAGGGGAAAAACCGGACGACCCGGAAAAAAAGCCACGCGACCCCGGGGCGACCCCGGGGAGAGCGACGCGCAAACTCCAAATATACAGCAGCAGCGGCAGGCGTCAGGGTGGGGCTTGAACCCACGACCTCCTGTGTACCAGGCGAGGTAGTTAACATCTCGCCACGCTGCTCACACTGCCAGCGGCATCTGCATGCTCAGCTCGTTTGGTGTGCTATGACGAAGGGCCATTGACCGAAACGTCACCTGTTATATTCCCATTTGAGGCAATGTTCTTAATGAATGTGTTCAGTGTTTTTTTTCGTCTCGATTGAGGGCAGTTTGCTCCCCTTTGCGACGCCGGGTGAACAAAACCCGGTGGTGGACTCGCCCAAGGTGGACGATACGCCACTGGGGTTGAGCCGAGGTCACCAGCCTCGAGTCCACTGTGCTGCCCACCGGTGTTACGACTGGTGTCGCCACCCAGCCACGCGTGGTGTCAGCTCCCCGACCGATTCACGTCTAAGGCGTCATTGTTCTACTCCGCCTAGACTATGCTGCCTTCTCGCTGTACGATACGTGTGCCCACCGTTGCTCGCAGGGTGTCTCCGGAGATGTCGTCACATTTCGACGGCTTCTATTCATCCGCATCGTGTTGTACCCCCATCGAGACCCAGCGACTGGTACCGCCACCTGCTGGCCGAACCTCTGCAATGCCCCCCAGAGCAGACTCCCGCTGCAGGCGGCGGTTTGCGTGGATTGCGCCGCTCTCTCGCGACCCTGCACGAATCTCGCCTCTCTTTTCGAGATTAAGTCATTACATGCCGTACGTGCCCGATGATTGCTAAACGCGTACCACGCGTTTGGCAAGAGCGCGCAGGTTCAGATCAGGACGGGGATCATGCGTCTTGTGTTGCGTACACGTGCATTCAGATTCACCTGCACCCTCCACAGCCATTGGGGCGTGTTTATCAGTCGGTCACGTGCACTTTGGGAATATTCAAGGGTCATATGGTTGAGAGGTCATCATCGTCATCATCGCCGTCAGCCAATGGGCGGCCTCGTGGTGGACGACGAGAGGCCGACCAGACCCTGGCCACCTCTCACGGTCCCGAGATGCAGCGGCCGCTCGAGCTCCTCGCACACGAGCGGATTTCACCGCTCCATCTCCTCGGCGCGCGAATCCTAGCGACGCGCTCTGCTCACCCGCGTCCTCTTAACAGCCGCGGTGACGTATGCACGTTGAACCTCTTTCGCACCGTACGTAGCCAACCGCGCCGATCGGAGGTGCGCTAACCGCCCGCATCTCCGATCCGCGCGTGCTCCACGTTGCGTCTCTCAGCTCAGTTCTCTGGCGTTCTTCCTGTTTCCCTTTGGCTCGACGTTGGACGTTTACCGGGCCGGCCGCGTGCACTCACTTGACGCCGTAGCCAAAGATGACGAGTCCCATGAGAACCCCCGTGGAGCCGTCCAAGTACCAGATGTCGGGGAAGTGGTTGAACACCTCGGCGCTGGCCAGGATGCTGAAGCCCATCACGGCACCCACGAGCGAGTTGAACCCTGACGAAGCAGCCGCAGCAGAAGGGCGGCGTCAGGTGACACAGACACGCGTGCGGTCAGGGTGTGGGGGCCGCGGGATGGGAAGTTCTGGAGGGGTCGTGGTGACAGGGCTGGGAGGAGGGAGAGTTGTCTTCGGGCCGGATACTAAAGAGGACCCCCACGACGGGCTAATTTGTGTCGCTTTTGAACAAGAATGGGGGTGGGGGGCACGTGGCGTCGTGTCCCGGGCCCCCAGGCCCAGGGCGTGCAGGAGACTCTGGGCTGCCCAGGATGGTGGGGGTCGATGGTGGGGGGGGGGGGGGGAGATGCCGAGAAAGGGGGGCGTAAGATTTAGATTTCATCCTGACTGCCACTTGGATCTGTACCAGTTCAAGCGTATTGTGGCCGTGACCACTAATTCCCCGCATGTGACTGCACATTCCCCTGCAAGCAGGAGCGCAACTCGTGATCGCCGTTGTGCGTGTGTCAGTTCGTGTATCGCAGTGCGTGTGTGTCCTTGTGGGTCTCACTCTGCCTTGACAGCACAGGCAGTGTAGCGGTGAGCGCGCTGTGCTACGAGCCCAGCAACGCGGGTTCAATTCCTGCTCATGGCCAGCACCAGTGACGATTATTTGAACCGGTCATGGGCCTCCCCTAGGTCGACTCAGCCTCTGGTGTAGGGTGTAAACATCGCCACTAGGGGGACAAAGGCGGCCGTGGTGCTGGCCACACACCCCATGGAGTGCCATTCCGGCCTTCATAGGTGCTCGCTAACAGCACTTTCCCCAACAATGTGTTAAGGCGATACGGCGGATTTGTGTCTTTGTTACACTGTGTGTGTGTCTTTTGTCTCTGCGTGTATCAGTCTGAAATGAGTACCTGGTGTAGCGTGTAAACATCAGCACTGGGGAGCCTAGGGAGTGAACCCATCTGTGCGGACATTTGTCCGTTATCTCCTGGTGCATGGATTTTCTCCGGACACTCCGGTTTTCACTCCGTTAACACTCCCCACATTTGCTTCATATGATTATACAGATGCAACCCTCCATAAGGGTCTCCGCTCAAGGATTCAGTTCCCATTAGCACGGTTGCCTACGTACGGTGCGAAAAAAAGTTCAACATACATCCGTACGGATAGTCTATCTTAGAGGGTATTTGCCCTACTCATCCACGCTGGCCATACATCTTACTTATGTATCTATGAAACCCATAGAGGCGTGGGAATTTTTTTCCAAGACGGTCCTGCTACGTTGGGTTTCTATTTTCAAGATGTTTGTGGTCAATCGCGAGAACTGATCATCGTGTCGTATCGTGGAAGAAACGATATCACAGCAAGCCGAGCCATAGAGGGTGGCAAGGAGTCCGCGCAGAACGGGGGGCCTCACCGTCCGTGATGAGGGCGCAACTCGTGAGCACCCTGCCCAGCAGGAACTTGCCAGCCGCAAGGAGGAGGCACAGCACCCCGCTCAGGATGGACACCGTGAACAGGAAAGTGTCCTTGCACGGCGAGACGCACACGCACGCGGGAAATAAATTAATTTGTACTCTTTGGTTTTTTCGGTAAAGTCACGTAGAAGGGAAATTTTCGAAAAAAAAACGCCATTTTTTTCAAAAAATGTATTGCTGTGCTTTTCACACCTGATGATAATTGCTTGTGTCGCAATCGAAACGTCGTGAGAATTTTATTTTTATTATTTTATTACTTTCCTTTTACGTGACTTTACCGAAAGAACCAAGAAAATCAATCCCTGTAGTCACGAACGCTTTAAATCGAAGAAAATACATTTGGTTTTCGTCTGCGAAGGCGTTACAAAGGTCTAAGAGCTATATGAGAAAAGAGGCTCTCACCCACGATGGAACTAAGTCGAAACGCTCGGGGGGGGGGAGGTGGGGGGGGGGGTAAAGCTTCGCTTACGATGTGTTTAGATCTACACGTGGCGCTAAGAGGCGGCGGGAGCGCAGAGGTCAGAGCGCTGAGTCGGCACCGCTAAGATGCTGGGTTCAAATGTTGGCGGCCGCCCGTGACTGAACCAAGTTCTCAAGTGTAGCCAGCCGCTGATGGTTTCAGGCTGGTCACCGATAACTGCATTAAAGAAAAGCATGTGAAATGTAGTTATGCAGTTGGTTTGGCTAAATTCCTGCTGTGAGAATTTTAAATGTTTAACACGTACGCTTCCGCGATCAATATTATCCACAATAGAGGTTTCCTTTGGGTTATATCGCGTTCAACACTCGTATATTTACGCGATCTAACCCCAAAAAAACGCGATTATGGAGAATTTGCCATATCAATGTTTCAGTTGCGTGATAACTTCGTGGCAGTGCGTGGACAAGGGCACTCTCTGTACAAGATTAAAGACGCCACTTGAAGGCGATTGAAAAGATTACGCGGAAAAGTCTCTTTCTGGGCCGCTCTCTGATGCGTCGGGCCGTGCTTCTCCTGTGAAAGTTCCGAGCACATTCTTTGTCTCGAGATAGCAACTCGCGGGGATTAAAACTGGGGGGGGGGGGGGGGGGGGAACAGCCGTAACTTCTCTATCTCGAATTGAACTTCGAACCGCAGCGCTCACATGAGAGGCCTGTTGAGCTCGCTCGCTGGGAAGCTGCGTCTGGGGTCGCTGCTCTTGGGAGGGGCTGAAGGCCGCCGATTGTCGAGGAATTGTCTCAAAGTACGGAAGGGGGAGGCGGGGATGGCCAATTTCCTTCCCCAAACTTGCACACGACCGCTGTATGTCAGACCATTTTTTTCTATAAATTATATTGCCTGGCATGATTTGACTTTTTATGAACACTGAAGCAATTTGTTCCCTCCAATTGTTTATCTGGGTGTGTCAGTGACGCTTCTGAAAGGTCGTGTTTGATAAGGCAGCGTGGCGATGGTGACTGTTGTGGAACTCAAACAGAAGCCATCGAATGAATGCTTCAAGATAGATTAAAAACACACCACGTGTGTGTGTGTCTCCCTCTGTCTTAGTTGCCTTGGATAATTAATTTTTTTGTAGGAGACAAGCGGTGGCTCTGGGTTTCAGACGCTGGAATTGGACTTCACACTTCACACCGGTTCCCTCGTGGATCATCCCATCGCGTTCCCTCTCCCTTAGCGCAAGGAGCCGTGCGCGCGCGCCGCTGTTTAAACGCGACTCCAGCAGGTTTCACTTGACGATAATGAATCCTCTTGAAGTTTAAATTGCACTGCCAATTACAATTTGCATGGCATTCGGGCGATGTTGCAAGGGTCTTGTTAATCCGCATGCAGGTGCCAATGTTTACGCTGCGGCACAGACAACTGTGGCACCGGCCATCATGGAATGCTCCCAATACGAACGTCGCGCCTCTCCCAGTGTCGAGCGCTATTTCAAACTCCAGCCATTCTCAAGCTGCTACTGAATGAAGGCCTCTCCACGCCGTGTCCGTCATGGGATTCTGTGACTCCACTTCACCACGCTGGTCAATGCGGGTTGATGAAGGGGCCGGGGGGCACACGTCACCGATGTTAGCCCTGGCCCGGGACCGAACTCGGGCGGCTGGGATTAGTCGTCGCCATGATGCTCGACTCGTAGCTACCCACGGCTACGATTAGACACAGTCACCCACGGCTACTTGCTGCATCCCAACAAGTTCGCCAATCGAGCTGAGCACCCGACGGCCAAGGCCCTCGTCCCCGTCGCCAGGTGTGAGGAGCCAACCGAAACTCGGAGGAGCAAGAGCGTCGGATGGAGCGTCGGATGGAGCGTCGGATGGAGCGTCGGATGGAGCGTCGGATGGAGCGTCGGATGGAGCGTCGGATGGAGCGTCGGATGGAGCGTCGGATGGAGCGTCGGATGGAGCGTCGGATGGAGCGTCGGATGGAGCGTTGGATGGAGCGTCGGATGGAGCGTCGAGCGGAGCAGCGGAGCGCGTCGAGTCCCCCGCGGCGGCGAGGGGGCCTCACCACGTCTGGGAGCATCTTGACGGCCAGGTCGTGGATGGCCTTGCCCTCGATGCACAGCGACGAGATGATGAACACGACGCCCAGCACCACGCACGCCCTGCGGCGGTGGCAGCAGCACGAGCGTTGCGGACAACAAGAGGTTAAATAAACGTTTGCATTGGCGGATTCATGAACCCTCTTGCCAGCAATGCAATATCCTGGCCATGTGTGTGTGTGCACGTCAGTGTGTAAGCGGTGTGCATGCAAGCCACGTCTGTTTGCTGAAAGGAAAGGACAATGAGCCTTTCCATCAACTTGTCTACAAGGTAAATATTTCCCTTTTTGGCAATTGTGTAACATTTGCTGCACGGTTGCATTTTACTCAGATAATGAATGTTCCCTTGTAGCTGTGTATATTTATCGAATTTCCTGAAGCGCATATTCTTGGTAAAATAAATACGTATACGCAAGCTACAGGGGCAATTGTACTTGCATCATCATTGCAATTATTTATTCAAAATATCACAATAAGAATAATGATGAGCTGGAGTAGTGATGATGGTAATTGTGGTGGTCATAATAGTGGTTGTGATGCGGGTGATGGTGCTAATGGTCATGAATTGTGAGTGATGATACACACCACGCACAAGCACACACCACGCACATGCACACACCACACACTACACACAGACAACACATCCCACGCCACGCACAAGCACACACCACGCCAATGCACACACCACGCACACCACGCACACCGACCCACATGTACTCCCGCATGGCAGAGTGCACGGCCGCCGCGTTGCTGTAGCGCCACGCCACGATAGCAGAGGACAGCACGTCGAGTAGAGCGTCGAACTGTGCGGTGAGAGGCGGGGTGGGGGGTGGGGAGTGGGGGGGTGGGGGGTGGGGAGTGGGGGGGTGGGGAGAGGGGGGGTGGGGGGTGGGGAGTGGGGGGGTGGGGAGTGGGGGGGTGGGGGAGTGGGAGGGGTGGGGAGTGGGGGGGCGAGGAGTGGGGGTCGGGGGGTGGGGAGTGGGGGGGTGGGAAGTGGAGAGGTGAGGGGTGGGGAGTGGGGGAGTGGTGGCTCATGTCAGACAAACAACGGCAGCAGTGGTGATATTGAAACGCTGCGGCGTTGGGCTGATGATGATGTAAGTATTTTTGAGAACGTGGCGTTACTCAGGCGGATGAGAATATGAGCATATTCTTTGGGTCTTTCGGTCAAGCCACGTAGATGGAAAAACATAATAAAAAATATCACGACGTTTCGGTCGCAGCACAAACAATCGTCATCAGGTGAAAAAAATAGCAAGAGAGCTGCTGAGGCAGGCTGCTAACATCCTGTCTCAGGGAAACGTCGTGATATTTTATTTATTTTTCTATCTACGTGGCTTCACGGAAAGACCAAAAGAATATGAATTCCTGCAGTCACGAAAGCTTTAGGTCAATATGAGCAGAGTTGTGTGGGAAGTTGGCAGTCGTGGTGCTGTGGATAAACTGGCTCAGGCCCGAGGAATGTGTAATTTCCACTCCTGGATGTGGGCGCATGCGTGATTGACTTGATTCACAAGAGTGCCTGATAACAAGTATTTATATTTACTTTAATGGCGATGTATGTACAGCGTGTTGAACTTCTTTTCCACCGTACGTAGCCAACCGTGCAAATCGGAGATTATTAATGCCCCATGCTAGTTTGAGCCGAGAGGCGTGTATGGCTTTATTACTTTCTACGACACAGTAAAGAGCTTTGTCTCTAAGTCACGTGCTACGAGTTTAGTCATCATCTGGCACGTAAAGCGTGTAACGACTTACTGCATTTGGAACGGAGAAGACTGTTTAACAAAGATAGGTGGAGCACTTATTCATGCATTGAGATTATTTACATTACTTCGCTGCGGTCAATTTGCACAGGATAAGCAACTTTGGAGAACGATCGTTTGCAACCAAATAAGTGAATGCCTCAGTGGGCTTTGCCTGGTATGATGGGAATGGTTTAGATTTTTTTTATATATTTTAGGTGATTTAGTTTACCTTTCTTGTACTGTACACTACTATCCTGTGTTTGCAGTGATTGTTGTTGTAACGTTCTGACCTGCCCCGAATGGAAATCTGTGAAAAAGAGCTTTATAGCTCATTGGATTCCGCCGGTATAAATATTCTGATTCTGACATGCGTGGGCGCTCGGACTGGAGCTGGGATCGCCTGCTCTCTGCGCGCGTGTCTCTCTCAGCACATCGCTAATCTCCTAAAAAATATAAAAATAAACAATAAACCTCCAAGTGTCCATCTTTACGTCAACAAATATTTCTGAACAGCCAAGATCTCCTGGGAGTGCATCATTTCAGAAACTTTATTCAAGACGAGCCAAGCACGGGTTTTGACACGCAGTGTCTAATCAGCAGTCAGACTTGTCCGAATCTAAATCGGAATCTGTATCTATCAAGGAGATATCCGATGAGCTACGATGCCCTTTTTCACAGGCGTGCAGTAGGAACTGCTGGTGAACTGCCATTCTTACAGACAATGACCCTTCTTCCACATTGCGCTTGATACACTCGGTCATTTATATTCTCTACAATGACGCTCATGATTATTTTGAGTTATCCTCAACCGACTGTGTTGTTATGCAGTGGTTTTAAGTTTCTGCATTTCTACACGTGGATTGTGGAGTCATTCATCCAGCAGTGGATGGACCAAGGCTGACGATAACGGTGATGATGTCCTCTATACGCACGATCATCATTGCCTCGAGGTAGTTTTGCCCTTGGCAGGTGAGTGAGTAATGAATAATTATTTTTCAGAGTAATATTTTTAAACAGATTACAGCTAGCTCTGTTGAAATATGACTTTTTAAATGAATATATTTTCATTGTAGGCTGCTTATGAGCGCATTATTCTCGACAGCTACTGCACACTTGAAAACGCTTGTTGCACGTATTCACAATGGATGAGTACACGCGACAATTTTCCATTTTCTGACCACTCTGCTCTGGCTCCCCCATGTCTAACAGTAACCATGGATACCTGTGTCTAACAGTAGCCATGGAGAGCCTTATCCATTAGTAGCCCTGGGGATCGCGGCGACACGGCTGCACAAAGTTGTGTGGCCAGCTGCCACTCTGCCCCGTGCGTCCCACGTGCATGAGCCCTGGGAGGCGTCGCCGCCCCAGCGCGCTTCGTGATGCCTCCGCGTCGCTGGGGCGTCTCCACGCGGAATTGGAGGAGTGTGACCGCGTGCGGATGATGAAATACATTGGCAGCTTTCGGGGAGAAATTAAATATCCGAGATCCCATTCAACTCCCTGTTTGTTCACTATCGTGAGATGTTGTGGCATTCATATGATAAAAATAAATATATACTATATAAATAACTTACAGTGCTTTGTCAATCCACTGATGCATGAATTTTCATTGAGGGTTGTTTGACCATATTTCACCATCCTGAGTTAGCGATTAGTGAAGAGGGAGAGGGACTGGTTCAGGTGTCGCAGACGTTACCCATGTCCGGAATTCGAACTCAGGTGCCCGCTTCATAGCAATGCTCGCCTGCTCACTCTTCACCAGCCCGCTCCCTCCACGAATCGTTCCCCACCCCGTAGCCGTGGCTGGTGCTCGTGTTGTTGTGTGGGTGCGGACTGTGGTTGCGCTTGGCTGTGGCTCTGTATTAGTGTACTCACGCCAAATCCAAACGCTGACGCACTGGAGCGCATAGCAGACACCGCTGTGAAGGGAACACATTGGTGCACACTGCATTGACAGTTCACGGACGATCGAGGCAATCGTTGTCAGCCAACACAAAGGCCACCGTCGCCTTTCCAGCCCCGTGCTGATTCGTTACACAACGCACCAGGTACGCGTTTGAGTCATCCTTAGGGAGGCCCAGGATCGCTTCAGACATCCCGCGCCACTGATGTTCGCCGTAGCCGTAAACCGAACGTGGATAACCAGCCAGATGTGTAGCCTATTGTACACACCACGACACTACCGCTCGCCACACAAAACAAAGATCCCCAATGCAGTATCGCCTTAACAGGGGTGGTGTGGCCAGTTCCACGCCCGGCCGCCTTTGTCTCCCAAGTGCTGATGTTCACACATTGTACCAGGTACTCATGTAAGTCTGAGTACTGACAGGAGGGAGACCCAGGGGACCGGTTCAGACAATCGCCACTGTCGTACTGCGAACGGGAATGGAACTCGGGTCGCCGGGATAAAAGCGCAGTGCGCTAAACACCGCTGCTTTAACACTTCCCGGACACACACAGACACACACCCACTAATCAGAGTCATATGTGCAATCACGGCCAGGTGGCAGGGTCGTCCATCAGCGGCAGGACGCACGTGGACGAATGAATCTCGACGAGATGCGGATGGGTTTCGTGCACGCGTCGTTCACGAGGAGGGGGGCATCCTCCGTGCGCTCTGCCCACCACGGCGAGCACGTGGTTGTTGATGTGGCACGCCGATATATGACGGGGTGAGTGTGTGACGAGTGAGTCGTTTGGAGCGCGCGGCTTAACGCAATGTCAAATCGTATTTGTTGACAGTCCTGCTACGTTGGAAGGGGTACGCAAGCAAAATAAAATAAAACAAAACTCTACACCGTGACCTAAAAAGTAAAAAATAGGCGACGTTTTGGGGAATGGCCCTCATATATTAGCATATTGTACTCAATAATACATTATCCTATCATATATATCTCGCACCTCCGATTAGCACTGCTGGCTACATACGGTGCCAAAGAAGTTACACATACATAGATCATCGGTGATTCATAAATAATTCACCTGGAGTGTGACACAAAAGTCAATAAAAAGCCAGAAAAGCCCCGGGCATCTCTCTACTCCGAAGAAGAACAATTGCCAGAAACGTCAGCCTATTATATATATACAAAAACATTTTTAAGACAGCGATAATGACTAACAATGCGAGTTTCTTGTTTTCAATTTATATTTGCGTGCCTATTCTTAGGTGTTTTCGGTAAAGTCACGTAGGTAAAACATCAAAATTAATAAAAAGAATAAAATAAAAATAAAGATCACGACGTTTCGGAGGCAACACAAGTCTCCGTCATCAGGTGGGACAGTCACAGCCAGATCAGCTGCATCAAGTGAGGCAATGATTCAAGATGTAATCCCTTAAAAGCGAGTTGAGGGGGGGGAGGAGAGGGGGGGGCTCATCAGAATGTGGTAGCCAATGAATGGAAAGTATCGGGAGAGAAGGGCCAACAAAAAGGTGGGCCCTTCTCTCCCGATACTTTCCATTCATTGGCTACCACATTCTGATGAGCCCCCCCCCTCTCCTCCCCCCCTCAACTCGCTTTTAAGGGATTACATCTTGAATCATTGCCTCACTTGATGCAGCTGATCTGGCTGTGACTGTCCCACCTGATGACGGAGACTTGTGTTGCCTCCGAAACGTCGTGATCTTTATTTTTATTTTATTCTTTTTATTAATTTTGATGTTTTACCTACGTGACTTTACCGAAAACACCTAAGAATATGATTCCTTGCAGTCACGAAAGCTTCAAGTCTAGAATTTGCGTGCCTGTACAACACTAGAGACAGGAAGAAGCGCTCACTGATCAGGGGGAAAAGCAAATCAGAGAAATAATATAAACCGTAGAGAAAAATAAAGTGGGCTTGGGCAGGCAGGCCACATCATTGTTAGAAGGACGAGCCTGGTGATGGAATAGCAGGCAAAGCAACGAACATGCTAGAGAAGACTATCACAGGAATGAGGCGACGAGCTAAGATCATTAACCGGCATGAGATGAACTTTGGCATCGCAGCGCCATTTGGTAATGGCGTGAGCCCGAGACAGATCTTCATTCAGCAGTGGAAAGACCATAGCTAATGATGGTAATGATGTACATCACTGGCAATGGAGCATCTTATTTTTTGTACGGTGTAATGAATAAAGTGCAACTGTGTACACATTGGCGTGCGCGCGCGCACACACACCTACATGCAGTATTCCTGTTCTACTTTCCAGCACATCTCGATTGTGAGCTATTCTAAGCTGTTGTTCTGTTGCGCGAGCCTTGCCCGGGAGCAACATGTGCCGTGATGGCCGTGCGGGCAGCAAAAGGAAGTTTCGAGAGGGGTCGGGGGGGTAGGAGACCGACCAGGGACCACAGTGGGAGTCTAGGGGTGGGTGGGTGGGGGTCTGGGGGTGGGTGGGTGGGGGAGCGAGGCCTTCACCCTCAAATCTCATCCCAGTCGCTTGAAAAATACAACCCACGCAGGCAGCCGTCATGTGATATCGTCATGTGATATCGTCATGTGACATCGAGCAGCACGGCATGGTCGTGACCAGTGAGGCCATCCCTGGAATTGAGTCCGTGGGCCAGAACAGAAATCAGTACCACCCGGGGTAAGACCGATTCAATGCTACCGATGTATTTGTACGACCAATGCGAGTGAATTATTTGACAACCTCACTCATTTCAGAATCAGAAGATGTATTTGTACTGGAGGAAGCTGATGAGCTATAAAGCTCTTTCCCACAGATGTCCAGTAGATAACCATCATAATTCACTGGTATTGGCCACATAAGGAAACTGGAAACGCGAAAGTCATGCCACCTCAGGTTCTGTTGGGTTTAATTTGGCACAGGTAAAGCACATTGGGCAATACGTACTTATTTCGATGGGGGCCTGGTTACACTTTTGGAAACCTGGCTACAGCCAAAAATAACACGAACAAAAGAATAAAAACGACGACTGGACATGGTGAAGTTTCCAAATGGCAAGGCCGTGCAGTTTGATGAATTGTCAGAGTTGAAATCACGAATTAGACCGATTTTAAGAATTGATTGTTTGTTCCCCCATTGTTTGTGCCATTTCGTTTACCCAGGGCACTCTTGCAAATGAGACGCAGGCTGGTCTCTTGAGTTCTCATCTCGTTAAATAAATTTAACTTTAAACTTGTACTGCCTGTCTCGTATGCTCAATATGGTTTCGCCTTGCAGATAATTTCCATATAATGCCGATAAATCGCATATCAATTAACAGACGCATGATTTGTTGCTTGCATCACGAGCGAAATAATTAATTTCACAAATGGGTGAATCCTCGCACGCCGAGTGGCCAGCCAGTTGAGAGAGCGCAAGTTGGAATTGTACCGATTAAAAAAACATTCATATTTATATCCATCGATCTATCTCGGAAAGCCTCATCGCTCAAGTAACCACCACGACCCACCCACACGGGGTGGAGAAGCCCTTCATTAGGTTCTGGCAAGTTGCAGTTTCGCAGCGCAAGACGCCCAAGCACCAGCACAGTGCAGGAGATGCACTCACGACGGGATGACGTCTTGGCGTCTCGCCAGCTGCAGGGAACATCTTATGATTATTTGAATGGGGAAAAAAGTGTCCGCGTAAACTCACGCTTGTCAGCCACGTGCACTTGATATTCCGCACGCGACTGCGGGGTTTTGGCAAGGTTGGGGCGCTCGGTGAGTGGGTGTCAGCCATCCGGTCTGTTGGGTTTTGGAGTAATCTCGCCTCAACGGAATAACAGAAACAAAAGGAAGACTTTCGTTTCGTTGCGCTACGTGTGGTTGTGAATAGAAGGCTATGTGGATGTGTATTGTGTGCAGTACGTATATGTTTGTTAATGCATTACCATGAGAAGGTGAAGCGGTGGTTTGCGCGCTGTCCTACGAAACCGGCAGTCTGAATTCGATTCCTCGCCAAGGTTGACGTCAGTGGCGAGTCATTTGTGAACAGGTTCTGGACCTCCCCTAGGTTGGGTCAGCCTTAAGTGAGTACCTGGTGTGTGTCAACGTCAGCATTAGCGAGACAAAGGCCGTGGTGCTCGCCTCGCCATCAGGCGAATGAGGGTTCATTGTGCGCGGTGGAGCTTGGATGCTGCACCTGCCAGTCACCCTCTGTGTGTTGTGGCCTTCGTAACCTGGGGCGTGGGCCCTCCTCTTTGCAGGGTTAGGGCTGTGTGGCCTGCACTGGAGCCCACCACAACAGAAAGGTTGAGAACCACTGGTGTAAGCAGTTGCTGTGTTCAACACCATAACCCCAAAGCAGCTGGTTAACCAGTGACTAGTGATAGCCAACCAGCCACTAGTACCAGCCAAGCAGCCCCTAGTGATAGCCAACCAGCAACTAATACCAGCCACTAATACCAGCCAAGCAGCCCCGAGTGATAGCCAATCAGCCACTAGTGATAGCCAACCAGCCACTAATACCAGCCACTAATACCAGCCACTAATACCAGCCAAGCAACCCCTAGTGATAGCCAATCAGCCCCTAGTGATAGCCAACCAGCCACTAATACCAGCCACTAATACCAGCCACTAGTACCAGCCAAGCAGCCCCTAGTGATAGCCAACCAGCCACTAATACCAGCCACTAATACCAGCCACTAATACCAGCCAAGCAGCCCCTAGTGATAGCCAATCAGCCACTAGTGATAGCCAAGCAGCCCCTAGTGATAGCCAACCGGCCACTAATACCAGCCACTAATACCAGCCAAGCAGCCCCTAGTGATAGCCAATCAGCCGCTAGTGATAGCCAAGCAGCCCCTAGTGATAGCCAACCAGCCACTAATACCAGCCACTAATACCAGCCACTAATACCAGCCAAGCAGCCCCTAGTGATAGCCAATCAGCCACTAGTGATAGCCAACCAGCCACTAATACCAGCCACTAATACCAGCCAAGCAGCCTCTAGTGATAGCCAATCAGCCACTAGTGATAGCCAACCAGCCACTAATACCAGCCACTAATACCAGCCAAGCAGCCCCTAGTGATAGCCAATCAGCCGCTAGTGATAGCCAAGCAGCCCCTAGTGATAGCCAACAAGCCACTAATACCAGCCACTAATACCAGCCACTAATACCAGCCACTAATACCAGCCACTAATACCAGCCAAGCAGCCCCTAGTGATAGCCAATCAGCCACTAGTGACAGCCAAGCAGCCGCTAGTGATAGCCAACCAGCCACTAATACCAGCCAATAATACCAGCCACTAGTATCAGCCAAGCAGCCGCTAGTGATAGCCACTAGCCACTAGTGATAGCCAAGCAGCCACTAGTGATAGCCACTAGTGATAACCACTAGTGATAGCCAACCAGCCACTAGTGATAGCCACTAGTGATAGCCAAGCAGCCACTAGTGATAGCCACTAGTGATAACCACTAGTGATAGCCAAGCAGCCACTAGCACAAACTCCCCCAGTGGCCCTAATGGGGCTAAGGTGTATGCAGTTACGGGTAGCGCACGCTTACCAACCACATGCTATCGCTACACATCGTTGTGATCAACTAATCAGCCAACCCCCTCCCGCCTCACCACCCCCCCTCCCCAGCTCCGAATCCTTACTGAAGGCGGCGACGGCGAGGGCGAGCGTGATGAAGATGGACAGCCACGAGACGACGAGCGCCTTGCGCCGGTAGTTCTGCGCCTCCTGCGGCTTGAGCCGTTGGCTGCTCTCCAGCAGCCCTGCACCGCACCGCCGAGGGACACCGCCACGCGGATCAACAACCATGGCACAGATCAACAACCATCGCACGGATTAACAACCATGGCACAGATCAACAACCATCGCACAGATCAACAACCATGGCACAGATCAACAACCATGGCACAGATCAACAACCATCGCACGGATTAACAACCATGGCACAGATCAACAACCATCGCACGGATTAACAACCATGGCACAGATCAACAACCATCGCACGGCACCACCGAACAGAGACGGGCACCGCATCGCACGCTTTAAGATGCGCTTCTTCTGCGGCCGTCTGGAACGCTCTTCCTTCCGATGTTAGGACGCCACTGGGAGGTGTGCACCTTTAAATCGTCATCATCATCATCTACATTGACAAACTCGATTCTCTAGAACTGCTTCTTGTGTTTAGTTTGTTGTCCTTTCCCCGCACCACCGATCAGCGCGGTTGGCTACGTACGGTACGAAAGGGGTTCAACATGGTCCTGTGAAAAGAATAACAAGTCAGTACACGCAGGGCCGGATTAAACCAGAGGCTAATAGGGCCTTCGGACCTCATGTTTTGTCGGCTCTCCTTTAGGCCCTTCATTCCATGTTGAAGTAACAGCTAAGTGACGGTAGCACGACCATCGGAAATGTTTAAGTCTTAGAATGACGACATCATTCGTGACTTTGCCACAGGAGCTAAAGCTAGGGGGGGATGAAATGTTAGAAGACATGAGTGTAGTGAGTGATGTATATTTGATGATGTTCACCTTGAGTCGAATACCTTTTTCAATATATATAATATTTTATGACGTCATCTTTTGCAACATGTAAGACTGTACACACTGAGGCTCTTCCTATTATCCTGAGGCCCTCAAACCCACTCCGGCCCTGGGTCCACGGCATTGCTGCTTTGCATTGAACGCCGCTCCCCCGTCTAAAGTCACGGCGTGCTCTGGCCAACGACGTCTGGTAAACCAACAGCATTTGTTGAGCAAGGCCGACTGCTGATGAGACCAAAAATGTCGAAACCAGTGCAGAGTTTTCTTGCCTTAAACGAATTCTGCTGGCTAATATTGGCCTGCAAAGCCAATAGGCGGATGGCCTAATATATGTACGTGTAAAGACAGCATTAAGTTCTGCTTATATACTTTATGCCAATAAAATTAAGAGTTCCCGCACAGCCCATAGTACCTTATTTCGATTATAAGACACACTCTCGTTTATCATATTTTAAATAACAACTTGGACATGCGTATTATATTCTGGTAGGTGTGTGTATGACCATATTTGTGTAACGTTACTGATACTTGGGCACGAGTTTGAGGTGCGTCTTACTTTCCGGAGCATCTTATAATCCAGAACACACGGTAACCTCACGTAGGCCATGTCAACAGCAGAGGGCAGTGCATAGTAACCCCGGTTGTGCTGTATTTCTATGCTTCCACGTGCATGCTTCCTGGCCCTCAACAGCCGCCACTGACCAGCGTGGTGAAGTATGGTCAAATGACCATCACGAGACCAACACGGTTTCCGGAGGCCCTCTTCCAGCAGTGGAGTGACAAAACACCGTGCACGTACAGAAGCGGGGTTTCCACCTCTGCATTATAACAAGAAATGTATGAAGGTGACGTGCTTCAAAAGCATTTCCTAATGAGTAGGTGCTTGGGATAAAGGTTGTCAAATGACCCAAGCTGCTTAAGAGCCAAACAGTCTCGAATTATGATGCACAGGTGGTACCACAACTGCAGTTTGATTAGATGTAACGATTCGCTTCAAGAATAGATACATTATTTTGGAAAAAATCTGGCGTTACCAATTATTATTGGCAGTGGTGCACAAATAAGGTAAATATATAGGTGATAATTTGCGTAATGGTCCTTCTATGCACATGAATGAGATAATATATGCTGGGATATTTTTTGTCTCTGGCTCATTCTGTCTCATCTGTGGCCTACAATCTATTGGACCATCAACCAAAATTCCATCATAAATGTACACATTCTGCATTGTGATCTTCAGAAATTCATTGGCACGTGACCCGAACAATATATCATGAGCATAATAATTAATTTTAATCTGTGATCAAAAGGCGATAACCCACAAGTTGTCCTGAAAATCGGCTTTTGTTGCCAGGCAGCAGATTAAGCAGATGAAACATCAAATATCAGTTAATTGCACAGTCATCTGTGCAGAGATTATAAAAACGGATTATAGAGTGTGCCAATGAAGCTATCATGGGTTGGCTTAATATAAATGTGGGTGATAATTAGGATTGTTAAAAAAGAATTGCAGTTAACCTGTAAACACAGCAAAAAAGTGAAAACCCAGTGACCAGTTTTCCTGGCATATAAAAAATATCTGGAGCAAGAAGCATCACAGTTTTGTTTTTATATTTTTAACCAAAAAAACGAAGAGAGCTGTCACGGTGGTGTAACGGTCAGCACACTCGACTCGCAATGCAGAGGTCGCCAGTTCAATTCCATCTTCCAGTACGGCAGTCGGAACAAATTGAGCAAGTTCCAATCATTACTAAAATTACACTCGGAAACGGTTGGCGGTTCCTGACTTTTGTAACCGTTCATCGATTGTGAAAAAGGGTACTGGTCTACCGCATATAGTTTAACAACGGAAAAAAACCTAAGAATATTAACAACGGGAGTTATAATATTTGTCTAAGGGCACTCCCCCCCCCCCAACGTCACATGCCCCCCTCCCCCCCCCGAAATCGTTGAATTTAAATCCACCCAGCACTGGTGGCACACGCCAATGACCCATCGCTGTGGAAACATCAAGGGGTTGGTCGCTCACACACACATGTGTAAAACTCCATAACCCTCTGGCAAGTGAGGTGACAGAAAGATGGCAGGGCAGCAAGTGGGTTCATGAAAACCGTATGTGCGGACCTTTGAGGGTTGTAACCTTGTGGATTATTTCGGTGTTCTCCAGATTAGTTCCTGCATAAAGCACTCCGTTATGAGGAATTGGCCAAACATCATGATGCATGCTCTCCCTGACACGTTGATCAGGACGTTTATTGGCTGATGGGAGTTTTTATTTGCAAGTAAACACATTATTCCTGGTTTATTATAATTATTTGTTGTGACCACAATCTAATAATACAGTGCACGATGTGTTTTCTAAAGTTTGTAATTGAAAAACGTTTGTAGATGTTTTTTGTGCGGTGGTGAAAATTAGTCGTCTGTTGTTTGCAGGTCAACAGTGTTGATCGCGTTGATGGACTGGATCGTGCCATGTGAATGTGGAATTTCCACCACTGGGTCAGAATGCTCGTCTGAGCAGGGAGACACTAGCTATTGAACCATAATAATCATTATTATTATTCAGCTGATTGAATTCAAATCGCGACACTTGGGGTGCAATTCAACGTATGGTCATATTTGAAGTTGGATAACTCCATGCGCAATTACACATTTAATATTTGTACCACCTCAGGTCAGATAATAAATTGCTTCATCCTATGTAAGCATGTATGTTGAAATTGGAGAATTCATCAGAATTCACCACATTCTGTTGATGATTTTTTTAAAGATTGGTCAACGCTAAATCATACGCTGCGCTGGGGTTTATGGAATTCATGAATCACAGTACGGTAATGTTACAGCATAATAGCGTTACATCATAATAGCGTTACACCATAATAACATTACACCATAATAACATTACACCATAATAAAAGACGACATGCAACGTATCCTGTGAATCCAAAGCAGTTATTCAACTTGTCAGTACCACGTGCTTACACTTCGTGAGCCACCGGACTGCGCTGTCGGCTGCTCGAGTTACCCCCCCTGCCCCCTGCCCCCCAGGCACCTTCAGCGCTGCGTGCCCGTGATTTTGTTTGTCAGCATCACGGTCTTGACCTTTCCTGACCTTTTCCTCGCGAGAATTTCCGAGAAAGTCCTACTCGCAAGGATTTCTGGGAAAGATTGCCCGGCCTGATTTGTAATGAAAACTCGAAGAACTACAAATAAATATCTTCTTGGTTCTTTCGGTAAAGTCACGTAGAAGGGAAGTAATAAAATAATAAAAATAAAACATAATAAAACAGTGAGAATTGTTTGATTATGTTTTATTTTTATTTTTATTATTTTATTACTTCCCTTCTACGTGACTTTACCGAAAGAACCAAGAAGATGAATCCCTGCAGTCACGAAAGCTTTAAATCGAAATTTTATTATGTTTTATTTTTATTATTTTATTACTTCCCTTCTACGTGACTTTACCGAAAGAACCAAGAAGATGAATCCCTGCAGTCACGAAAGCTTTAAATCGAAATTTTATTATGTTTTATTTTTATTATTTTATTATTTCCCTTCTACGTGACTTTACCGAAAGAACCAAGAAGATGAATCCCTGCTGCAGTCACGAAAGAAGCTTTAAATCGAAAAATACAAATAAATAAATTACGGAAATGTCACTTTTTTACCGACTTGAGTTGTCCACCGAACTCGACTTCAGGCCGACTCGTGGTGGACTAACTTAGCTGCATGTCAAGCCTTGGTGTTCGTTGTACATTTTGAAACAGGTTTATAAACCACAGGTGGTGATTGTAAACGCTGACCACTGCAATTATATCACATATTTAGTCGCTACCGGTTAAAATGGTACCCTCCACAGGTTGTCACCAACTTCTGTTAATTCTCAACAAGCCACATTGAGACCAGGCTGACACACAAGCACACAAAGGTCTGGCAACGTGTCCTGTCCACGACAAAAAATATTCGCACACTTTTCAACAGCAACAACAAATGTTATAAAATTACGATTCTTAATTATGTTTTCAAAATGTTCCGCATGGTATTTTTTTACGTGCACGTTTGTGTTTGTTTACACTTCGTGTAATTTGCTGTTTCACGTTACCAATGTGAACCAGGTCTCCACTCAAAAAAGACTTTTGGTCCCAATGGGCTCTCAGCGGCTAACAAAGATCTGCAATTGCAGGTACGGCATCACCCTACCACACGCGCCACCGCACCCCATCAGCACGGCAGCTGAGACGATGGGCAGGCCCTCAAGTCCACCTTGTGGAGTAGAGTGTGGGCATTCCCACCGCTCCCAAGACGTCTCTAGAGCTCCGTCTAGCGCAGTGTTCTTCATCGTGCTGCTGTCAAACCCCAATGGTTACAAAAGTGTGGCGGCACTCACGCTGATGATGTCTTATCGGCGTTAGTGCCCCCCCCCCCCCTCTCTTTCAAAATTAGTGAAGAACACTGGTCTAGCGGATGCCCTTCCGCCAGCAATGGCGTGCGTCATCTAATTTGCATGCAAATGCAGGGGTGCACCTTTACCTCCTTCGTGTATGCAACGTCCGGACCACAGTCACAAGGTGCTTGCGTGAGTGGAGCTGCGTGCTGCGCTGTGCACCCCGGTGCGTCACGTCCACTCACCGAGTCTCTCCAAGCTCTCCTCGCCAAACAACCGCGCTCTGCTATCGCCACTTTTCAGCATCATGGTGCCAGGTGTACGCGCCCTTGGGGGTCTCCTGATTGTTTTGTCCTCAGAGCCCGTAGCTCGCTAGTCGCCGTGGCTGCCGGCGGCGCCAATCCACAGCCGCTCACGCAGGGAACTTGGCCGAGTTGGTCTCCCCGCTCGTGGGCCGCGTGTCGGGCGCCACGAGGCGCAGAGATGGCAACGGCGAGAAGATGGGTGGATCGCGGGGGATGGCGCTGATGTATTTATGTAAGTTGCTTACTTATTAATTTATTTATTCGCTTGCTTACTCTTCTTGTAACCGCCTCGCAGCGTCTGTGTACTTATTAAGTTTGAGCGCGGGCAGGGGGGGGGAAGATAAAAGTGACACTCGGGCTCCAAGAATTTCTCTTCGGGGCCTTGCACCGACGAGCGAACAGCGCTTGCCACGCGCGCACAAATTGCATTCCGAATCGTTCACTCCGGCGGCAGGGACCTATCGCATGGGGGTCACTGGATCCAGCTCCACCGAGTCACGCACTCGCAAAGGCCGTCCACGCCGCTCTAATTGCTGCCTTGCTGCACTTTGGCAGAAGCGGAGCTCCTCTTTCGGCACGAGCCTCTAGCTCCCAAATGTTTTTTTTCGGGTTATTAATGACCCTGAATGTGTCCGGTCTGCTCAGATCTCAAAAGCTAAACGGAGTTGACCCTCATTAGTACTCGGCAGACAACATGTGCCTGCGAACAGCACGTGTTGAATAATGCTTGGGTGAGCGAGATGCCCAGGAGATGTGAACATACAGATGTGAATTATCAAACACAATTACAAATGTATTTTGTTTAACCAGGTGATAAATCAAGGGACCAGAATAAGTTTAAATTATAATTAGTGACCTGGGGCATTAGTCCACCAATTTTGACCCTAATACCCGCACGCAATACGAAGGACATGAGGGGATCTTTAACGTCCACTGTTAAAACTGCTTTCTAGAACTGCTTCTAGTCTTTAGTGTTGTTGTCATCTGCATGGCTACGTCCGATACGCCTACACGTGGCACGTGTCGTCTTTCCGTGGCTCTTACATCCGCAGCGGCAGCAGCAGCGGCGCTGACGAGGGCAGTCGTTGGGTTCTAAGCGGGAACCTCTGAAACAAGCGGCAAACGCGCTGCTGCTACTGCTGATACTGCTGCTGCTGGGCCACATCACTAATTGCTCGAGCTTTTCATGTCGCCCCCTCGTGTGTGTGTATGTCTGTGTGTGTCTGTGTGTGTCTGTGTGTGTCTGGTGGGGAGCGGTAGTGCAGCGGTTAGCGCGTTGCGCTATGAACCCGGCGACACGAGTTCGATTCCCACTCACGGCCAACACCAGTGACGATTATCTGAACCGGTCCCGGGCCTCCCCTAGGTCGACTCAGCCTCGAATGAGTACCTGGTGCGGTGTGTAAACATTGCCACAAGGGAGACAAAGGCGGTCGGGCGTGGTGCTGGCCACCCACGCCCTCGTGTACCGTTCTGGCCTTCATAGGTGCTCGCTAACAGCACTTGCCCCTACAGTCTGTTAAGGCTATATGGGGGATCTTTGTCTTGTGTCTGTGTGTCTGTGTGTCTGTGTGTGTGTGTGTGTCTGTGTGTTTTCTCCAGCTACTCCCGTTTTTCCTCTCACGTGCCCAACACTCCTCAGTGGAATTGGCCACACGTCTCGGCGTAGCAGGACGCCTCCTGACAACAACATGAAAACGAGTCTCCAGACCGAGGCTTTTCTGGGTTAAATAAAAGCCCCGTTATTATAATTTACCACGACAGCGGGCCGAAAGTCTCGGCGACTAATTGCTCGCGGATGGAATATATCAAGCGAATCGGAGCTCTCGTCGTAGCGGCAACGAATTCCACATCGCCGCGTCGACTTCTACAGCGAAAACAGTCGCGCGACGCATCACCGCGGGGTGTGGGGGCGGGGGGGGGTGCTGGTGATGGATGTGGCATGGAGAGAGCCCCCCCCACCACCACCACCCCCACAGCCACCAGAGTTATATAACCACGAACACGCTGTGCATCATTACTAACACTCACAGCTACTCACTGCATGGTGGGGAGGTTCGTTCCCGTGACTTTCAAACACCTTCGGTGGGGGGGGGGGCACGTTCGGGTTGCTGACACTAATCTTTGGTCACGCGAGAGGTCTGCATGTAATTGACGGCTCAGAACTCCTTTAAAAGACAACAAATTACTGAGTGGTGTTTACATTCATAAAGCAGCGTTGTTGTCAGGTAGGAGACATCCCCCTCTAGGAGCCGATGAGTGCGGCCAAGGTGCAGGTTCGCTATCGCCCGCGGATGTTTTTTTAAGTGGTAGAGCCTCATGGGGCCGTCTGGAATGAACTCCCGCACCTCGTATAAGGAGCTCGCACTGTCCTGCAGAGGCCTGCAGCTTCAGAGAATATTGCAATAGACCTGACGAATATTCACAAGGTATTGTACCCGATACATGGTACAAGATTGTACCCTGCACATAACGTCGTACTCAAATAGTAAATGTTGTGGGTTTATTCTCCAACACACCGGTGTGCTAAACGAGTAACTAATTGGAACATCTTACCAATTTGCTGTGTCGTGTGGTGGCGGGTTTAACGGCACATTTATATTTACGCGATCTTACCCAAAACATCCCTCTATTATGGATAAGAAACAGGATAAAGGTCTCCCCATGCAGAGTCGGTCGTGGGGGTGGGGGCTTGTGTACCAATACTTCCACACGCGCTGGCCACGTGCGAGTTCGTGCATGAACGGGTGCTCGGGAACTGGCTCATGCGTCACTACCACTGGTGTTAGCCCAGCTCGGGATCGAACTCGGGTAGCCGGGTGCGTAGCTCATTGCGGTAGCCACTGTGACAGCACTCCTCTTATACATGTCGATATGCACCCCATACATAAAAGTCTGGATGGCTTAATTCAAAGTCGACGAAGAGATCTGAACAAAGATAACATTGGACATATTTAGTGGGGAGGGGTGGGAGGAGAGAAACACAGCTTGGCTTGATGATGAATTCCGACTGATAGACAATGAACTCCCCCTGCGGGGAAACTTCGAGACGTGCAACAAGTTCTTCGCGTTGATCGTTCGCACCCACGGGCCCGTGACATTTTGCGGCCGGATTCCTCTCCTCCTCCTTCTTGGCGGCACTCTCGCCCCGTCATCGCTCGCCAAGAGAGCCACCGGTGCGTAAAGTTCCCTGTCGGTGCGAATCATTAACCCCGAAGCGCATCGTCCAAAACTCCCAGCATCATAAATCCCCGTCCCATTCAAGGCGGCCGCAAGCAGCGCGGACGCGAATCGTCGAGTGAAGCAGCGGCGACGTGTGGAGTGCACGAGGTTTGGCAATGCGCAAGTGACACATCTGAGACAATGAACGCACAATGACCAGCGTGGTGAAGTATGGTCCATCAACCCCAGATGGTGGCCGCTAAATGGGGAGGACTTCATCCAGCAGTGGGTTAACAACCATTATGAGTATGATCGCTGTGCTTACATCGTGAACATGTGTGCAGCAGTGAGATATCCTGGACGATCTATTTATAGATAACCCACTGATTTCGAACGATCCTCTTTGTTTTCGTCTCAATGGCTGATTGAATATGGCGAATGTCGTGGCTCCGTATGTTAGAGAGGAGAGCGTTAGAAGACTGGATACGTGAATTCAGATTGGTGGGAACGCGTGCAGGTGTTTGAAACAACAAGTTATTTTCTACATAGCTTAGTGGGGTACCTATAAATGGACCACCCAGCATATATGTAAACACAACATTGAGTGATGTAATCTCTTAGGAGCACACGGCGAGAAGCGGTCTGCGTTAGGCGTGAGGATTCTTTGCCGCAGAGATGCGTTGGCCTGTGTACATGTCCCGCATGGTGCGTTTAGCAACCATGAGGCACGTGCAGCAGCAGCAGCAGCGTGTACATCGGTGAGCTGGGAACGACGCGTTGTGTGGTGGGTGAGTGGCGAGGAACTTGGGGTTGGGGTCACTCTGGATGACTGCGATGAGACGGCTGTGCGAGGCACCTGTCTGGAGCCACTCGGGCCCATCCAGGTGCTGAAGGGGGTCCAGGGTGAGCCCGGGGTGGGGTTTGCTGCCCGCCTCTCCCTTGGGGCCCTGCCCATTGCTCTGGCCGGCAGCTTCCATCGCCTCCCGGAGCTGTGGAGGCAGGGAACAGAGCGCTGAGGGGTCCGGTCTGCGGCGAGCTTCGTCTCACGCCAACATGTCCGTGCAGCCCCCATAGAGAACAGGGCTGGTGACAGCAGCAGCACCGTTAGCACCTCGGACTACCACGGTTGGCTACGTATGGTGCGAAAGAAGTTCAAAATACATACGTAATAATCATATACTGCATTTATATCACCTGCAATGACAAAACCCGGAGCGGAGCTCACTGCTACTGGAACTGCATCCTTGGCATGGCCCTGCCTCGACTATTTTGCAGTGTTTTCTTTTCCATCATTCACGCTCTAATTTGCTAACCTCTGCATAACGTGGCTGCAGCAATGAAACAGACAACAGGAGAGCTGCTTTGGAATAGGGCTACTAGATCCAAACTAAATCAGCAGTGAACCCTGTCCACACGATCAACTAACCACGCTGCATGTGGAATAACATAACGTAACTGCACAAAATTGACACTAACGTGTATTTCCAACTGTTCGTCAATGAAAACCTCCCCGAATCTCAAAGCTCGTTTTGCTGGATTGTCCTGTGTTTGTGATGTCTGTCCAATACGTTATCAATTGTTTGGATATAAGCTACACAATGTAAGCGTAGGGTAATACATATTTAGCAAAATAAACAATGTCTCCTTCACATATGAGTCTTCACATTAAAACAACTAATTCTTACACAACCCGTCCGCCGCACGGCCTCATGGGAGTGTGCAACTTCAGCGGCATTTTTTTTCAAAAACAAGCAACTCTCTGGACCGGTCTCAACACTCAGCGTTGAATCGATGCTGGTGAACTGCCGCTGTTACAGGTGAGGACCCTCTCTTTACTGCCAGAGGGCCCTGCGGCCGATGGGGTTGTGTAGAATTGGTCGTTGGGCTTGTGACGGTTTCTTGCAGCCCTCTCACAGTTGGAGCTTGCGGCCGCCGCTCGTTTTGCCTCGACTCGCGCAACACCATCGCCTCACTGGCGTATCGACCAAGAGCGGCTATACGAAGCCCTCGACTTCGCCAGGTCGCTCGACATTTCACGTGCTCGCTGATAAAGATGAATTGCACCGTCGCTGACAGGCAGGGAACGCGATGTCACCGCGGCACCAAGACGGGGAGTGGGGGGGGAGCTTCAATTGCCAACGAGGAGGGAGACGCTTGAACACGTAGCAGGCTTTCGCGACCAATACCATCCACAATCGAGGTGGTTTTGGGTTAGAACGTGTAAATATATAAATGTTGTGTCGTTAAACCCGCCACCACCCGACACAGCCAACTAGTAA